TAGGGTTTAGGGTTTAGGTTTATGTGAATATAGGAAGTAAAGGGACGTGGAAAGAGAATGCACAATGCAATGGAAACTCGGATTATATGGTGGTTTATAGGATCGGCCGTACAACATGGATGATCATATTTGGGGGGTCGATTGGGGTCTCCATGTTTACGGAAACTACCATTGTCGGAGGCCCAAGACGTGGAATGCAAGCAGGATTGAATCCAAGCCACAATCTTGGTGCTAGGTACCTGGAAAAGGTGCAGCCAGCTGCAAGGCGGCTGAACTGCTTGTGAAGTTTGGCGCTTGGGCTTGCAGTTCTGAAACAACGAAATGTGAATGAAAGCCATGAGCTTGCACCAAGCGAACTTGGAATTCAAGGGCTCATACAACTGTGCAAAGCTCCTTCGCGTTAAGCCAAAGAAGATCAAGCCAAACCCTGCGGGGCTGGTCCTGAAAGAGCTGGCAAGTCAGTGTCATTTGCACATATCATTGTTCTGCGAGATATGGCAGCACTTGTAATCATGCCCGCGTTCTTGTTGTTCCCTTGTCAGGCACTAATTCCTAGGCCTTCACCACCAAGCCAAGTCTCTACTGAGGGTATAGGCTTCTCTGGCCAAAGTTGCCAGCCTTCTGAGCCATGCTCGGCCTGCTTCAGGCTGAAGGCAGGGTAGACCTCTGCATGGGTCCAGGGTACAGTAAAGCTCTTGTGAGCTGTGAAGGATTTCCATTTCAGTGGTTGGTTTCAGGTCTAGTCGCCGCATGCCTCCCAAGATTTGTCGGATGTCTTGTTCAAGCGCTGCTGAGAGGATGATGAGCTTCTGTTGTGGTGCCTTCACGGATTCAGCAAAGCAGATTACTTATCGGGATTTGGCGGCTCTTGCGCTTCCCTCGAGTGCGGGCATCTCAAGCAGTAGTAAGGCGAAAGCAGAACGGCAAGATCACACACCGCTGCAGGTTTGGCTGACAGCCCGGCCAGCATGCTCTTGCCGCATGCACATTATGGCGCTTCCGCCATCTTCCAAGATGGAGTTCTGTGTCGTGCATTGATATCTGCAAATGTTGTTTATCTCTTTTTGGTGGATAGTTGTTCTGGGAAGGAGCTCATTTGTTTTGGAGTGTCCCTTTTCCGTATAGTGGACCCTCCCTTCGGCGTTTCTTTTCGAGTTTGCCGTGCTGGGGATGCTTCAGAAATAACTTTGGAACCTACATATATTTGAGAAGGTCCCTGACAGCCTGAGCGTACGTTTCTTGGGCTAGTTCAACATTCTTCCTCTTTGGTTCAAGAGCTTCGCCAGAGTGAATCTGTTGTTCAGAAGCGTGGCTGTTGAGGGCAACTTATGCATCTACGCTGAGGTGGCTGACGCGGCGCATCAGGGAGGCTGGAAGGTTGAAGCAGACGTGGCCCCAGGAAATTTGCCTGATTGGGCTCACAAAGGTAAGCGCAAGTATTCAACGGCATTTGTATCGCGTCCCCCCCTGCCTTGACTTGCGGATTATGTTGCAGATGCTAGGTCTGAGAGAACAATGGTTTTGCTTGTCAGCATTCGAGCTCGGAGTGGAATGGCCTGTAGATGTAACGTTTTGGCTGTTTGCCCAAGGTGGGAAGCCTCGCTGACTCTCCTAACAGAGGCCTTCCAGCGTAAGCAGTGCGTGCGTGTTGGATGGCTACCAGCAGTCTATGTCACAGGACCGCATGTTGTTTTCAGCCACTAAGAATTGACTTAGTGGCGCGGTCAAGTTTTGCCTGCACAAACGCCCAGCAGCTTTGTCACAGGCGGTCTGGCATCACCAGGCAGATGCCGTGGCCTTACTCCTGGAGCTGTGTTATGACAGGAGCCTCTCTTACTGGCACCAAGGCCAAAACCTTCAATGTCGCCATGGGTGCCTGCGCCAGCCCCTGAGACAAGATACCTTGAGGTTGAGAAAGTTCTGGGAGGTCTGCTTTGGGGCATACTGCATGGCTTGGGGATCATGGGATGTCCGCGCGCCCAGGTGGCAGCCCGAAAGTGGGCAGGATCCTCGGGCTCGAAGATCTCTTGTCCATTATCCCAATATAGCCCCAATATAACCCTACTATAACCCCAGTGGGTACCCCATAATATATCATCATATACCATAATATGTCATAATATAGCCCTAATATGACGCCAATGGGTACCTAGCATCCAAGAGACTTGTTGAACCCATCCTTAAGAGCCGAGGCCTGGGCCCTGGAGATTTTTGGGCAGATGGACCACAACAAGGCAGGCTTCTGGGGTTGAATGTCCTGAAAATGGAAACTACTATAGTACAACAGGGTATATATTAAGAATATCCTGGGATAATGTAAAAGAAAATGGAAACTACTAGATTATAATGGGGTATGTATTAAGGTTATCCTGGGATAATGTAGAAGAAAGTGGAAACTACTAGATTATAATGGGGTATATATTAAGGTCATCCTGGGATAATGTAAAAGACAATGGAAACTACTAGAGTATAATGGGGTATGTATTAAGGTCATCCTGGGATAATGTAAAAGACAATGGAAACTACTACAGTATAATAGGGTACATATTAAGGTTATCCTGGGATAATGTAAAAGACAATGGAAACTACTATAGTATAATAGGGTATATATTAGGGACATTTGGGATAATGGAAAAGAGAATGGAAACTACTATAGTATAATGGAGTATATACTAGGGTTGTCTTGGGATAATGTAAAAGAAAATGGAAACTACTATAGTATAAGAGGGTATATATTAGGGCTATTTTGGGATAATGGAAAAGAAAATGGAAACTACTATATCAGAATGGAGTTTTGGCCGGGCTGGGTTTTTGGGTTTCTGCTGCCGCTGTCAATGTAAGCCATTCTGTTGAGACATAGAACTTAGAAGGACATCTGCTTGGGAGGTCGATGCAAGCAAGCAAGTGACCGCAACTTAGCATCTCTGTTGTCCTGGTTTGACACCAAGACTGTGTTGTGGGAGAGCTTTGCACCGACAAGAGGGCAAGCATGTTGCCCATGCCTGCCAAGGTTGAGCACGCTGCTGCAGGCCTACGGCGAGGCACAGAAGCAAAGTGCACGGAACCTGAACGGGAAGGGAAGTCCTGTTTGTCAAGCCATGTTTGCAAGTGATTCTGCATCTTCCGCAGGGTTCGCATTGGCAGCTCGCTTTAGCATCGCCCAGCACTTGGAACAAGTGATCACACAACGTTATTCAATGCTACTGAGATGTCTTGAACTGCTCCGTGCTTGCTTTTGTTGGGTGGGGACCTGCTGGGTGCAGTTACTTGCAGCATTGGGCCAGCTTCTCCAGTTGGTCAGTTCTGGGAGCCGGGACTTCTCGTAGGGCCGATCTTGCATAGACGGCAACCGGACACGCGCTGAAGGAAAGACTACGTTTCTGCTGATGGGGGCTGGAGTGTGAATGCCATGTTGTACTCGTCCGCAGCTTGCAGCTTCAGCTTGGCTGCTAGGTTTTGATCCGAAGTAACCAGGTTCTCCAAATTCCGGGTTTGATCAGGCAACAATGCCAGAGAGGGCTCAAAACAACCAGTTCTGTTACAGCTAGGCTTTGTTCGGATGTTGTGCTTCCTAATTGCTAATCCCATGGAACGTCTAGTTTTCCGGGGGCATGGGCTGCTTACTGACGTGGCTCTCAGCGCTTCCAGCGCCTTCCCTGCAAGACCCACAGCTCGTGTGGAAGTCTATCCAGTCCAATTAGGGTACCGTTGATTGGGTGTGGACATCAAGAGGGAAGTATGTCTCACTCTTCGGGACTCTGTCGTTCGTTTTGAGAAGCTCCCTTGTGTTTCAAGGGAAGTCGTCTCTGGGATTTGCCGGGTTAGTCTTGGGTCTTGGCACGCACATCGCTTTTTTGTTCGAGTTATTTTAATTCTGGATTGGGATATGTATACAACGATTTCGATAATTGAGGTGTAGATACAGCTCTCGAGGATGTGATGTGCACCCAGGAAATCCTCTGCATTCAGACCTCGGATCATTGAACAGATTATTTGGTAAGAGCCAGCTGTTGTTTCGTGCTTACAGTGACTGAAGGGAATCTCGAGCCACCCTAGTATACCCCCCCCAAAATTGGGAATTATATCCAAGGTGATGCAGGTTCCCCTCCATCCGCGACCTTGTCAGTAGTTTTCATCTTGTTTTTCGATGTCGCCTAAATCCTAAACCCTGTATGTCCCTATAAAACCCCTATACAACATGGTAACTTACTACCCTAAACCCTGCACATCCCTATATACCTACTAATCGCTTCCCCCTAATAATCAACGACGTCCGTCCCCCCTCCCCCCCCCTCCCCTTCCCGCAATAGTAATTAACCCGGGGGCTCAGAAATTATTTACTATTAGGGGGTGATATTTGTTGAAAATGTTTGGTAGGGCCGCCTTTAAATTCCTTTCAAAAACCAAAATTCGATTCACATTCCTTTTAGAATCAATTGAAATCGAATTTAAATCACGTTAAAATCAATTGAAATCTAATTTAAATACTGTTGAAATCAATTTAAGTTTAATGAAAAATACTTTTAAAATCAATTGATATCGAATTAAAATCATTTTAGAATCAATTGAGATTTATTTACATTTCTTTTTTAAATCAGTTGAAATCGACTTAACATCCCATTGAAATCAATTGAAACTTAATTAAAATACATTTGAAATCAATTGAATTTCGATAAAAACCCCGCTAAAATCAATTGATACCAAATTAAAATCACTTTAGAACCAATTGAGATATATTTACATTTCTTTTAAAATCAATTGAAATCGACTTAGCATCCCATTAAAATCAATTTGAAACTTAATTAAAATGCATTTGGAAACAATTTAAAATTAAGTAAAAGTCCTTTTAAAATCAATTGATATTGAATTAAAATCATTTCAGAATCAATTGATTTTTTTTGTAGGATTCCTTTTAAGATCAATTGAGATCGAATGAAATTTAGTTGAGATTTACTTGAATACGGCTAAAACATTAAAATCGCATGCAGTTCTTGCATATAAATCCTGTAAAAAAACCCATATGAAAATCAATCAAAACCTAGGATGTCAAGGGGATCCCTAATTCCTCCGACTTTCTACTATACCCCCCTAATGACCTCAAAACCACCCTTAATTTATCATGGCCTGGCTCCTGTTAAAAGTAGTCTTCCCCCTTTTAAAGTAATCATGAGGATTTCTTAGGGCCCTGGATTTATTGTTTATTATTAGGGGGGCTTTATTAATAACGTGAAGTGATTACACAACATGGTAACTTGCTATTCTACACCCTGTATATCCCTCTAAAACCCTGTACAACATGGCAACTGACTACACTCCCCACATAACCCCCATACAATATGGTAACTAACTTCAAGTTCCTTAACAGCAGCCCAGCCGAATTGTCAGGCAGTGCTTGGCCAGTCCCCTCACTTGCGTCAGGCCTGGCCAGCACTTTGGAAACGAGAGAGGTTCTGTCTGTTGTTATTATCATTATTAAGGGTATATGTGAACTAGATGGGGAGTACACCATTTTCATGGCGTTGAGCTTGCAAGTCTTCAGAACAAGTTGACATTTGGATGCGTGTCGCAAAGGCATCCACCTCATGTGTCGCATCATTCACTGGTCCTGAAGCTGAAAATCAACCTGTCAACTTCTTGAAGAGAATCCTCCCCCATGCATGTCGCCCTGAGCTTCCGCAGGGTGGCAATGAGCTCTGCTGGAATTATCCGAACTTTGAGGATAAGGTCGGCTTGTTCCAACCTCTGGGGTTGCAGAAGACTTCACAGAGTTGTGCCAAGCCTATTCTAGATCAGGTTAGTGCAGGCTGATAAGCTTTGAGTCATCTTGTCGGGCTTGGATCCCATGCAAAATCATGCAAGCAGTATCCTTTCGTGTTTGGCACGACACAGCTTGTTGCATGGCGGTCTTGGTTGGATTGTGTGTTCAGTTCGTAGTTTCCGATGGTAAATGGGGAATTCTTGTAATAATCCACCGACCTTGGCTTGGATGGCGCTTCTCCCTCCTCTATGAGTCCAAATCTTGCTTGATCTTGGGCCCTCGCGGTCTGTTTCTTAAATCCAACATACACGGCATAAGGCCGGATTCCCTGTGCTCTTGCCAACTAGGAGTAATTCGTAGTAATTGTCCTATCAATGTTCATAACCTTACCCTGGCAAAGGGCTAGAAAGTATTGGGTCCCCATCTTTTTACAGTCTCGCCTCAATCTGCCAACCGGAAGCTAAAGACCCTCAGGTGCTAACTTTCGAGCAATGCTGCAGCAGCCAGGCCGCTGCCAAGGAGTGCTTCCGAGGCTGGACCTTTGGGGTATATAGGGAGTATATAGGAGTGTCTTTAGGGTATACAGGGGTTATATAGGGGTGCATTTAGGGGGTATACAGAGAATATATAAGGGTGTATACGGGCTTCAAAGGGGTATGACTGGGGGCTTGGGGACTTGCCCCAACCTAATCCTTTGCCAATCCTTAAACTTTATCTTTCGCTACAAAGTGAGCAGGTCTTGGACATCGCTCTAGTTGGTGACAAGATCAACAATAGAAGGGTTCCCAAATGGCAGTCTCCCTCATATAGACCCCCAAAAACTTTCATCTTGACTACGGGGACACCCCAAAACTGTATCCATGGAAACCCCAGTTCCTGTAAACCACTATACAGTCAGTTCTAGTTTCCATTTTAGTCCATCTTCTTCGCCCATTTCAATCCCATGTTCATAATATCCTTCATTCATCAGTATAAGTAATGAACAGTCAACAAACACATGAATATGTCCCCATGTAATCAAGAATCTTCCCTTGTTCTGAGACGCCCCTGAGCTCTCAATGGCTGGTATACCTACGACTTCTGCTGCCTGGATCCGGCACCAGAGCATGAGGACTGCGACTGGGATTTCCTGATCACCAGAGTTGGGGAGGATGTCCAACCCCTGGAGAACTATCCTGTGATGCTGAGGGAGGCAGGGCCTAAGGAGCATGACCTTGGATCATAGTGTACATGGGTTGTGTTCAAAATTATGGCCCCTTTTGGTTTTAGATTGTATTACACCACCTAATATTTGGGGGTACCAAAATGGGACCCTAATTTGGGGAACTACCTAAATATCTATTATGGGCTACGGCATGGGGATAGGGGAGTCAGCGGCTAGGTCTGCTGCGTCTACCCCCACCCGGGCTGCTGGGGCGACGCTGACGACGGCGTACTTCCACCCTTCTTTGCCGAATGCTGCTTCCCCAGCCTGCGACGAAGGCTGCTGAATCCCCAAGAGGATGATGCAACGTGGCAGCTCGGAGCATCTGGGAGCATCTGTGTGAGTCATGCCTCTTGACTCTTGACTCATCCCTTTCCTCCTCCAAGTAGGACTAATACGAGACTGGAGTACTGGAATGTCCTCAGGCTGGAGCAGGATGTCGACAGGGAGTTTGATGCACTGCAGGGCTCACGATGGACAGAGGAGGATTTCGATGCCTATGAAGAGGTGACGCGTTCGAGCCGGTTTGCAGCAAGCTTTCGCTTAAAACTCGCTTGCCTTTTTTTGTTCACGTTGAAAGTGTCTTGGCAAGCGTCCTCTTGCATGCAGGAGCTACGGCAGTACCGTGATGCCAGACCAGGCGAGTTAGGTTACCTTCCTTGTCGAGTACGAGTACGCAGCTTGATTGCAAGAAAGTTTACCACACAGGGCCGACTTGTAATTCTCGACGCTTGAAGTTTAAGTTTCGTCCTTGGCAGGAGATGGACACCTGATCCCCTGCAACTATTCACTTTGCCAAAGCACTGTGGACCCTGGCAATGACTGCTCTTACGTGCGCGCCGTGGAGGTGGCACTGCGCATCATTGGCACTCACGTGCCCCTACCAGATCTGGACATGTTCATCAGCCCAACCAACAACGACGCAGGAGTAGACAGCATCCCCGTCTTCACTCGCAGCAGGCCACGAGATCCACGAGGCTTGTACATCGCCCTGCCCTTTGAGTTTCAGCTACACCCTTGGCAAAGCCGCAAATCTCTTGCTGTTCTGCCCAAGGTAGTTTCAAAGCACCCCTGGAAGCAGCGCATTGGAAAACTCTTCTGGAGAGGGACCAACTCCAATCATGTAACCAACCACTGCTCTTTGAAAGAAGTTTCGGATGGGCAGGCTCCTTGGAGTCTCTGCATGGAGGGTTGGCAGGAGTCATTGGTCGGCGAACAGGATGAATGGCTTGCATCGAGTTGGAATTTCTCCAACTGGTATAAAACCCCGCGCGGTCTGTTGGTGCTGCTTGGGCAACATGTTCCCGCAATGGATGCGAAGTGGACCGGTATCTCACGGAAAATGGATCCGGATCTCTGGGACTACTTTGAAGCCGAGAACATGACAGCTCCAAAGGTGAAGCTCTCCGAGCAGCTTATCTACAAGTTTGGTATCAATATTGAAGGCACTGGAACGGGCGACCGGATTTACTGGCAGATGATGGGCGGCCAGGCACGGGATCCCAAGTGTCTCAGAGTTGTGCATACATCGAATTTCATCCCAGAACGCCTATTCCAATCCAGTTGCCATCTCCTTTTCCATTTTCTTGTCCGTTCGATTCCCCATCACTCGGCAAACAGGAGCCCTAAATCCTCAGTAAGACCACTCTGGCAGGTGGTTCTGAACCACGAGACTCCACAGGTCTCCTGGCTTCTTGCAGATCCATCCTCACCAAGACGTCAAGGAGCTCTACGCCCCTACGAACACTACATTCCCATTCGCTTCGACCTGGCAGAGCTTTGGAACTGATGGTGGTTAGTAGGGAATGAAGGGATGGAAGAGAAGATGCAAACCATAGTGTATTGCTGGGGCTTGTGTGACTAATCCTGGGAATCCATGCCTCAATGCCCCTACTAACCATTAGTGAACTCACTGAATGTCTTTGGCATGATGAAAAATCTCTACCTCATAATGCCCCCCGGACCCCATACAGTGAATCTTCCCGCTGGAACATGTATGTTTGAGAGGTTAGGGGGCTGTTATTCATTGTAAAGGTAAACAATGCTGCTGGACTTGATTTGCCTAGGACCTTGTGGATCGACTTGAATGGCTACAGAGGACAAATGGTGAGATGCATGTTTACTGAGTGTCTAGGTGTCCGTCATGTGCAGCATCCCGAGCAGGAACGACGAACTGGCCAGAAGCATCGCGGAGTCCTCACAGATGTTCGCTGAACGACATTTAGGTGCTAAACTCAGCGAATTGTTAGTTTGAGTCTGCTGTAATTACAGATGCGAAGGTGCCCTGAAGCCAGGTTATGACTCAATCCTTTTCTATCTGGACCGTGTGATTCGTCGGTACGCCTCGGAACACCTTCGGCTTTGAGGCAAGTGATACCTGGGTAACAAGGAGAGTGGGAATTGCACTAGAACGGTTTATTTGCGGCAGATGATGGCCTGCACGGAAACTGCAGCTGGCAACATCTGACAAGAACGCTGTTGAAGCAAGACTTGAAGCAACCGAAGTTGAACCAGCCCCAGCTCAGCGATTCAAAAACAGGGTCCGCACCAGCAATGAAGAGTGGCAGAGGGCCAGCCGCCCAGCGGCGACTCCACAGACTGTGCTTGGACGACGGCCATCCCAACAGCGCCGAAGCCTGGTACAGCAAGCCATCTCAATTTAACAATCGACTTGTGGTGAGGCTCTGCATCATGTAGTAATTGAGAGGCTCAGAAAAGGGCTCTGACATGCTGGCCAACGGCATGCAGCATGATGGTCTGGTGTACAGGCCTTTCACATTGTCAGCTCCCCATGAGCTCACTGCCGCTCAGATGGGCTGCAGCTAAGCCTTTGGCTTGCCTGCTCGCAGAAAAGCCCTTCCTGCTTAGAGCAAGTTGCATTAGGGAGTCTTTCATGCCCAAACTGAGGGTTTGCTTCTCAATTCCTTTTACCTGCGGGACTTCACCATTAGGCAATTTTGTGGCCTTATCCATGGTTTCATGCGAGATAGGAGTCCTTTCAGATCAAAAGATGTCTCAAGGCTAGAAGCGTTTGCTTCAGCGGGCGAGGCGGACGAGGTGACCTTCCAGGTCGCTCCCTGAGCCCAACCATCAGCCACACCACAGGTGACTGGCGTGGAAGCATGGTAGATCCACCTCGTCGCATCATCTGTTGATTTGGAATAGCTTTGTGCGGGAGTTTGCTTGCTGTAGGTCTGCATGGTTGCTTGTGGTCGTGCCGGCGCCCAAGCTTGTCACACGTCACCTTCTGGACAGTGTTGGAACGCTATCATCTTCAGCAAGTGCTCGGCTGCTGTCCGAAGGGTCGAGCTGCGGAGGGCTGTCATGCCACTCATGCCGATCATGTTGTTCTAGTTAAAGGGTCTATAACACGGAGTAGCACTCTAGGCGAGACTCTCCATAGCTAACTCCTTAAAAGAGGAGTTCTCCGTATGCAGGTGGCAGAACATGGATTCAGCTCTCTTGGAAGCTCCCAGTGATTCAGGCAAAAGCCTGGCCGCTGGCGGTGCAGCTGTTCCAGGACTTTATCCTAGCACACTTAAACACTCGGATTTGAGGGGACTAGGGGAGTGTATGTAGATATCATTTTGCAGCTATCGTGTGGGTACTGTCGCTCAGCGTTGGTCATTGCAGGCGAGCTCGTATCTCTGCGTAGGACATGACCGCCTTCCACGTCACACAGACAGCGGCAGGCCCGTCCCGGCCAACTTGTGAAACACGGCCATGAGCAGCAGGCACTGTGCACTGAAGCGCTATGGTGGTCAGAACTACTCCTGAAGTTCTGCTGACACCTACCCATGACTGTCACCAGCCCATAGGCTAGCACGCCGCAACAAACACCCATTCAAGGCGCATTGCCGTAAGGGCCTTGCCCCATGAGCAGGCTGCAACGCGGTGATGGCGGCCTGTGAGAAAGGCCATGCCTGGCAGAAGCTTGCTTGACGGACTTACGCAGCTAAAGCAATCGAAAGCAATCGACAACAGATTTTCCGGATCCAAGGAGCGCATTGCAGCTGCTCCAGAAGGAGGTGAGCTGAGCTAGGATGCTGCCTGGTATACTTACTGGGGGCTGGTAGGGAATAAGGGAATATAATCCCTAGTGACCCTGGTGCATATAACCCTTATGTGTTACAGTATCGTATTCCCTTATGCCCTACTAAGAACGAGTAAGTGTACCCTTAAATGTCTTGGTTCGCCCACACCTCATGCGGTTTTAGGGCTTAGGGTGTTTTAGTGTTTAGGAGTGTTTATGGTTTAGGCTGTTTTAGGGATTAGGGCTTAGTTTTTTTGATGGTTTGGGGTTGGTAGGGTTTAGGGCTTATTACGATTTTGGGGTGTTTAGGGTTTAGGGCTTTTTAGGGTTTAAGGCTTTTCTGGGTTTCGGGGTTTTAGGGTTTGGGGGTTTTAGGCTTCGGGTTTAGGGCTTATGTTGGGGTTTAGGGATTTTAGGTTTGATTAGGGTTTGGATTTTTAAGGTTTAGGGTTCTTTAGAACTGGTGGCAAACTTTATCTCTGCGATCGACTTTCTTGCTAAGCAAACTGCTCGACCCATCTGGAAGCTGCGCAAACATCATCGTGTGCTTGCTCTCGTCAACCTCGGCGGAAAGGCCCCCAGGAAGGGGATACAACAGCGTCCTCGCATGCACAACGAGGAGTGCACGGCAAGACTGGTGCAGGATGCCATTCCACAGAGTGCTTACGCGAATTTGTCATGACTGGCCGACTGTAAATGGTAGTTTCCCAAAAATGAGGGGACCCCAATATACTATAGTCCTTATTATAGGGACCCCCAAAAGGTACCCCTAGTTTTGGGAAACCCCCAAATGTTACCTCGAGACCGAACAAAGGACACCTTAAGTCGCAGCAGCAGGCCAGGGTGCTCCTCTCCAAACCGTTGAAAGGTTAAGGGTTCTTTAGGGTTCAAGGCGTAGGGTTTTTTTAGGGTTGAAGGTGAAGATCATCCCTAGCGTAATATACCCCCTATGTATTACAGTATCATAATCCCTTATTCCCTAGTAACAACCAGTAAGTATAGGGATGGTACCCGCTCGGTCTGCTTCATGGGGCCTTCATACTTGTGAATTGCGGCTGAGGCGTGTGCCACAGTGCTGCAGGGCTGAATAGATCTCTCAGGCTTTGGAGCTTACAGAGGCCTCTGATGTTTGCGACTTCCTGCGAAGTCGTTATTCAATCTGATGACCCCTTCTGCTCCTTATAGTTTCCCTTGATTGACATACCCAGTGACTGGGACCCAGTGCCCTTGCGAAGGATTGGACTCAAGTCTTCAGGGCTCAAATCTGGCTAGTGGGCCGTCAGGACTTGACAGACACTGTGAGCTTCAACTCCGCCATCAGCGCGCCCAAGCCACAGGAAGTAGGTAAAACATCCGACTGCCGTAGGTAGTTGACATTCGCAGGTGTTCCATGCAATAGACATGAAGCTACCGCGCGCCGAATCCTGTTCGAAACCATAGCGCCGCAATGTAGCCCTGGTTTGGACTCAGGTGTGGCAAGGGCCGGCATTGGAGATGGTCACTCTTTCTGGCAACCACCATGACACGGCAGGACACGGCGACAACAGTAGCTGTGGTGTTGATTGATACTCGTGCAAAGGCGATCAAGACTCCGGAAACCTAAGCCCAGCATCCACCATTGCACCTGTCAACCTTCAAAGCCATTTGACAATTGAGACTTCCGATGCGACCACTTGTAACGCCCGGGTGCCTGATCCCCGTCTACATTACCTCCAAGACATCAATGGTGCGGTGACAGCAAGTGACAGCAAGTGACAGCAATGGGGGAGAGTATACACAAGATGATCCCGACCGTTGTCGAATTCAAGCAGAAGCGAGGGGCCAATGTTGGCTTTGTTTCTTTGGCATAGGATCCATGCTACACGTTGGGGGGTGGTTGTTCCACATTTTTATGTTCCAATCCGTGCCGTGCCTGAGCCCTTTATCCCCTGCTGTAAATGGATCAGATGAGTGATAAGAGGCAGATCGGGGCGCGTGCTTTTTGTTGCTTGTTCGTGATGTTGACTGCCCAGAATGGAGGCCAGTCCCTGTGCACATGTCTTTGATTTGACACGTTCATCCTGCCCTTTCTCCCCACGTCCAGGACTTGGTCCCGGATATCATCACGCACAACTCCCTCATGACAGCCTTGGAGCCACCTGGCGAAGAAGCGTTTTACTCCCTCAGCTCATGGGCAAATGCCTGCGGGCCCATGGCTTCGGAAGTGGCTGGTAAGCTTATGTGAACCACAGGTGAGGCTTGTTGGCCCGCCTCTGGGAGCTATTGACCACAAGACCCCGCGAGCTGCAGCTTTGCAAATTTCCGACTTCCAACATGCCTTCTGCCCCCAAGATAAACACATCTTAGATCTTCTATGTCCGTCGGCAGCCTTCATGTTGATTCTCTAGTTGGGTCTTGGCTGAGGCGCGGTAGGCAGTGGCAGCGGGCTCTGGACGCGATTGCTTCCGTCTGGGCCTCCGCTTGCGCAAGGAAACATGAAAGATGTCTTTGGCTTGACGTTGAATTGGTCTTTAGTTGGTGGTGGTGCTTTAGGGACCTGGTGGTGATGCATGAAGCGAGGAGAAGACCTTCAACCTTTCAACGCGGAGGATTGACAAACGTCAAAGGCAATCATGTCATATTGGGTTCGAAATTGTCTTTCCTCGCATGGCTAGGCGCACCATCACAGCAGCATGGCTTGCAACGTCCGTAGCTTATGAATCAGCTTTCAGATTCCCTTGTTGTGAAGGAACTGTGTGGCTCTCTTGCCAAGCGCTGCTGATTCCTTCATCCAGAGATCTCTTCCTTCACGTCTCAGGTAGAGGATCAGGAAGGCAGAGTCCTGTTTCTCAGGCTGCCATTAGCGCCTGCGGTTCCAGCACTATGTGGCAACATGTCGGCTCCTCAGTGTTCTGACAACAACGAGCTGCGGATCCAGGCCGAACTAAATCTCTAATTTGAACAAGCTGCTGATACTTTTCGGTAGCCGGCACTCTAAACAGGGGAAGTGCCTGCACCCGCGTTAAACATAACACTTCAATGCTGACTCCACCTTTCAAGCTCCAAACCCCACATCATCCTGAATCTGGAATTCCAAGCCTTCGACCAAGACGTATGACCACAGGCACTGGGTCTCTTGCAGCTGCGACGCGAGGATGCGGGCCTGGTGGCCTTCAACGCCACCATCACAGCCTGTGCGAAGGCTGCGATGAATCTAGGGGTCGGATGAGCTGAAGAGCAGGCAAAATGGCGTTGGAAAGGGAAGCTTTCAGTGCCTGGTTGATTTATTGGCGGCCATGTTGATCTGGCGGTCCGGGTCGCAACTCGTGCATGCTGCGCCAACAGAAACAGAGCATCTTAAAGCTGATTCTTTCCGCCGATCTTTTGCAGCCAAGTTCCTGTCAGGGCCGAAACTTCACTGGGGCGTTGGAGCTTTTCAGTGAGATCCAGGCATGTGGCAAACTTCAGCCTCAACTGGTCCTGGATTTGATGCGAGCAACGTCTCTAACAGGGATCTCAAAAAACACAAAGCCTTCCCCCTCCTTTCTTTGCCTCAGGCAGCACGCCTCCAGCCCGACGTTGTTAGCTTTGGGGCTGCCCTGAGTGCGCTTCCTGTCTGAATAGTCATCTCCCAGAACTATCCAGAACTTGGACAGGACACAAGAAACAGCAGGTATATCTTTTGACTTGAAGCAATCATCTCTTCGGGGAAAAGAGTAGGATGTGTACGGGTTGTTTTGATGAGCCTGCAAGGAGAAGGTTCAGGGCTGGTTCGCATTCCTTGGGCTGAAGCAGTGTTTTGGTGAGAATGCTGGTTTTCAGCGGTGAAGCCGATACCCGTGCATGTCTGTGGGCTTGGCAGAGATCAATCTTGAGCATCAAGGTGCGAAAAGGGTGGTCTTTGGACGGTGGCCATCCATCTCCTGGAAGTCAAGCTGCAGGCCTGACAGAGCAAAGAGACTAGGTGGAGTGTGATGACTACTGTAGTAGCTGGAGGCTGTGCAGCAGCAAGTAGCAACAGCTGTGCCAGTGGTCACAGCCATAGCCATCATAGTCGTTGTGGTAGCAGAAGTGGGAGTGGCGATACTAGTAGCCGGAGAAGTGGTGGTAGTCATCGTCATTGCCACGGTTAGCAGCAGCAGAAGTACTGGTGCTAGTAGTCCTTCTTGTCTTAGTATTAATTAGTACGCGTACCAGTACCATAGCACCGCGACTAGGACTAGTACTAAGATTGTCACGAGTATTCCCTGCAACAGGACTGGTAGTAGCACCACGAGTAGTACTCGTAGAAGTGGTGATAGTCATAGGAAGGTAGAGGTAGCAGGAGCAAGCAGTGCTGGTGATGGCGGTGGTGGTACATGCTTTTAAGCCATGTGGCCGTGCCACGAAAGACAATTCTACAGGATGATATTGCAGCAGGGCCCATCTTTCAGGAAAAACAGTCTCGCTCTATGCAAAGATGTTGATCCGGGACTTCCGGAAGATAAAGAGACTGGACGCCTGCCCAGATAATTCATGTCCTCTGCCTTTCGAATTTCTACCTGTAAAGAGCGACTGTACCACACACGTCGTCATTTGATTTGCAGTCCAGGCCAAGATTCTTCTACCCTGGGGAAGGACCCTCCGCCCATAGCTCGTCCACTGGTAGCAGAGCCATCATTCTCCCAGCCTCTAAGCATCTTTATGCTCCAAGTCATGACTGGATGGTGTAAGCCCCACGAAAGGCTGCCAAGCTGAAGCCCAACGTGGTGCTGCTGAATGCTGTCCTCTCCTGAGAATGCCATCCCTCCTTGCAGTGCAACGGTAGTTGCGATCATCAATCGCTTTGCTGTGAAGACCTTGTTGATTCCAGACGCAGGTTACATTTGTGCTGTATTAGTTGCAAGGGAGCCAAGAGCAAACCCAAGCTGGAACAAGAAACTTGCGATGATGCGGTGAGTCCCACAAACAAGCCCAATTCTTCAAATTCTTCTTCAGGCACTGAAAAGCAAATGGAGGATTGTTTGAGCCTGGACTTTGACGCCCTGCATAAGAAGACCTTGCCGTCATGGCAAAGTAAAGCCGTGTATGAGCCTGCGTTGCAAGATCAGCCGGCGGAGAAACATGAGATGTTTCCGGCAAACACATCACAAATTGCCAAAAAGCATCCTCGGAAGCACTGGCACAGTTCACTGCAGGGAGCGTGGTGAGACCTTCAGTTTCTTGAGGGCTGCAAACCACAGCTTTCCGTCCTACTGTCTCTCTACTTGCTGTGGTCTCCAACAAGTATGAGTGTTTTGAGTAGTCCCCATTTAGGTCGCCGCTCGCTTCAGTGGTTGCGCTATTACCATGACCAGTGGAGCTCTCGTCAGCTTGTCCCAGGTCGCAAGTGCTTGCGAAAAGGGTTGGGAGCTGAGAAGGATATGGCTTCAAGCGGGCTGCCATGTAACACTGGAGGCGCACAAATAGGAGGCCAGCGGCATCGACCCCCAATTTGGATACGTGTAGCAGGTGCCATGGACGTCCTCCTACCAAGGCCAAAACTGGCCCGGCGCCCTCTGGATTCTGGGCCAGGCTTGGGACATGCTTACCCTGGGCAGGCAAATATCAAAGGTCTTCCTGAGATGCTGGAAGTGTTGTATGAGTAGCTTTGACTGTATCTTTAGATTGTTAGTTTCCGCCGATCAGCCCCATGTGTGTGATGGTAGCAGCGGCCATGGCCTGCATCTGCCCATGGAAATCTTTCGGGCTGCTGCCTGCTGTAGCGGTTGGCTTTTGGCCACATGCACAAGTCAAGTTGGAAGGCAGCTCCTCGACATCAGCTGCGTCCTGACACGACAACCTTCAATGCCGCCAGATGCCCAGCCGCAATGGGCAGCTCCCGACCCCTCAAAGATCCTCGGAGTTCAAGCGCAAGCCCGCGCACGTTGAGGCCATGGCAGCCTGCTTGCGAGGGGAGCAGTGGCATCTGGCTTTGGCACTCTTCGCTCAAATGCGCCGCGATCTTACAAAAAACTGTCCGCAAACGTTGCCACGTGGCTTCCGTGAGAAGTGCCATAGCTGCCGTAGCTGATGCCCAAATTGCCAAAGCCCGATACTGGCGAGGCCGGTCATCGATGGCGTCCATGGCCTCTTATGCAGAAGCGCTGGTCAGTCTGCAGCAGGTGCCTTTAGGAGGATTTGCAGTAGGATTTTGACCTCTCAAATTGGACGCTAAATATGTACACTCAAAAAAAAGGTCCCCGAGAGGTTTCCTACGATTGCCCATTGACGACACACCTATAATGAAATTCCATTTCAAAAAGCAAGAACATTTATCTTGTGGATCATTTCTTGACGGAACCATCTCCTGAAACGCCAAACACGCCAAATGTCAGAGCTGAGGTTCCCAAGAACGCATAAACACCAGAATCAGTCCTATGCCTTAAAAGTTAGCACCTTGCCCTATGATGCCCCATGCAGTGGAAGCTATTGCTACATGACTTAGCCCGGAGGCAAGGCGCTGGGAAGATGCCCTGGTTCTGTTGGAGGAGATGCCTGGCGCTATGTACAGGGTGAACTGGTTGTGGTTGTCGACGGCGGGAAGGGTCAAGTCAGAGTTCAAGAAGTTGCATGGCTCTGTGGTTGTGCGGTTCTGATACGGGCTAAAGTTAACCTGGGCAACCGCAATTGTGATCTGTCCAGAGTGCATATTAGGCCTGGAGCAACATAGCACTTCATGCACACCCTTGCCCGCTCGATGAGAAAAGTACAAAAGTACTGTATGTTCCACCGTAGCCAAACCCTTGCGCCCATCCTCTCGACTCAACCAGAAGTCGAGCCCATGTCATGTCACTCTGAACGTGCCTGAGGCGTGCCATCGTCCTGAACCCAGACTTGAAGGCGTGAGGGGTTTGGGGTACAGACTTACCTGTTGGACAACACAGGGAAGTCTTCAGTCCGTGAAGATGAGAAGCTTCATGATCCCGAATTGTGTTGAACGCATCTTGCGCTGGTGCTGCTGAATCTCTCAACCCAAGCGTACCCGTTCATTAGGAGTGCAAGGGAATGCGGCAGGCGCTGGGGTCCGCTCTCAGCGCCTGCGCCCTGGCAGGGTCCTGGCAGCAGGCACGACTGACTCGCTGCATATGCTGTCATACGAAGTAAACCTTTTTTCCATTATGGCTCTTGGTTTGTGAGCGTGTGTACTTAGGGGCTCTTAGGAATGTTGGTGAATGTGTATGTTTGCCATCTGGACAAGAAGCTAAAATTTGCGGGCATATATACTTCCAGCAGAAAGCGAAATGGGTTGTGCTGGGAATGGCTTGTGTGATGTATTGGTTGCGAATACCTTTAAGTCCACATTTGTCCACATGTGGCTACATCTTGCGAGTTTTGAACAGACTTCAGCTTTCCATACGACGTTTTCCACAGACAGGATTGCAGTTGCATACAAGGTGCTGCAGGGGCTGAAGAACGAACGCAAATCCAAAGCATAAGATGACATCTGAAAACAACTTGCAGGCAGTTGCTGTGTTCCATGGCTTTTACTACAAGGGCATATATGTCCAGTAGCATTCGAAGATTTGCCACGAGGCCCTTGGGGCCCTGTCATCCGAAGTCTAATGGCAGTTGCTGTCAGGCTTGGAGGCTGTTGTCAGACTGCCGCGCCATCACGGGTATCGACGTCGATGCAGTTGCCGTCCTCCTAACCCTGGCAGCAGTCGAGCAGGCTAGAGGTTCTGGGACACGCTGGCGCATGCCACGGGGGAATGGCACTGCGAGGCTGGCAATTTCAAACTTCTCTTTGGAGCTCTTGCTCGTGAACTTTTGCGCGTTTCCACCCACGGCATAGCTGAAGGCGCGCGAGTTTCAAGGGACACAGTACGCGCATGACCGTTGCAACACCAGTGAAGGTAGCCCGTTTGGCGCCCCGGCCACTGCTGCGACCTGGCCTGATCCACAAGAAAGGGACCCGCAAAGCCGCAAAGACCACAGGGATGAATAGGGTATATAAAGAGGATACATGGGGCCCCCGTTTGGCATGAGAAAGCGATTTGTTGTGCCTGCGCTCTGGACTGAAAAGCGGTTGTTTAGTGCTTCGCTGCCTGAGGCAAATTATCTGAGGGGAGTCAATTTCGACGTAACCATATCAACAACAGGCGCGGCCCTGAAGCATCAGGTCTCAAATGCAGTTTCACCCTTGGGGTTGCGGATGTCGAGCATTATCATTCTTGGAAGGCATACTGCCGACTGGCTATGGGCAACCTTTGTCACGGTCCTAATGAACTGAAGCGAACCAATCTCAAAAAAGGCTAGAGCAATCAGAGGCTGAATCAATGCCATGACCACTGCTGAAGTCCTGCCATGAAGACTTGCAGGTCAACAAACTGCTCAGGGTGCATGCTGTGTTGGTGGCTATTGTTTCAACACCGTGGCCCGCACCTCAGTGCTCTATAGGTAGGATGGACTTGTGCTTCCGCAGGCTCGCAGGAGCTACTGTCTCAAGGGATCGGGTCAACGGGTTTTGCTTTTGTACAGATCGCTTTTTACAGGAAGAGCAGACTTATTGTTGACATTGTTTGCAAATAAGGCTTTGAACGAGCCATTTGGGACTTACAGTGTTGGACGTTGTTATGCTTATGATCATACTCATCACAAGAAGCCCACCGCAAGAGGGGAGAGGGACAGCGAGTAGCTGTTGTACCTGTAGTTAGTAGTTGCAGCAGCGGCATTGGCTGTAGTGTGATAGTAGGAGTCGGCAGCAGAAGAAACGACACTAGAACATTCCCGCAATTCCGAGATGGAACTGGTTGACCCAGGCTCTGCGCTCAGCACCAAGGGCGCTTTGGCAGGTGGTGCTTGTCTCGGCGATCACTACTCTGGATCGAAGTTCAATGCAGTAGGACTTCTGCAGTCCAAAATGGAGAAGGGCCTGACCAAGGCTTATGCGCCGGTTGTACAGGTCCTTCAAAGCATCTGCCCAGCCCCAAGTTGTGGTGCTTCGGTTGTCTCCGTGCGGCCTTTCAACCAGAATCAGAAAATTTGAGGCCAACACGGCAGGCAAAGCTTTGTGGTTCTGCAGAATGAATGGTACCGGGCTGGGACTTTGCCACCGTAAAAGTACTGCTGCAATGCTGCAGATGGCAGTGTCAGGTCCTCCTTCGAAGCGCTACCATTCCGAGAGGCTTCCAGGGATGGAAAGACAAGGGTCCTCTCACTCTCTGGCCTGACGGTTACAGGCTTCCGTGCAGCTTGGCTTCTGCTGGCCGAAGCCCGCCGTGGGGCTTGGCGCCGGAGTCTCGGGTGCAGGCTGCCTTCTGTTCGATGATGTGTGTGTCCTGGCATCGAGACGGTTGCGCAGCCATTTGCTGAGAGGTACTTTGAATTTAAGTTTTCTGCTGGGACGAAGATGGCCTCAAACGACCCCGATGAGTGTGAAGCTGGCCTCCTTGGGGCAGAGGATGCCTCCGAAGAGGCGAGTGCGCCAGTGGCTCTCTGCCGCCGAGGGAGCGCCGCGCTGGGGTTGTTAGTGCTGCTTGCGCTGCTCGCGATGGGCGGCCACCGTAGCCTGCGGTTACACCCGCACCTAGAGGCCAATGTTGAAGACTTTGTGCGGGAGTTCTCCATGCCCGAAGGGGCTGGCGTCAACCTTGGGGGATGGTTTGTATTAGAGGACTGGTTCTTCTCGGGCTCTAGTGGGAAGCTGGTGAGTTCCGAGCACAGAGAGGGTCAGGGGCGGTGTCTGCCACCTCTCCTCCATCATGTCAATGAGCCGTGGCCCTCAGAGGGTGTCCTGGCCTTCCGGTTGAATGCAAGCATGGGCACCAAGCAGACTACCAGGATCTTCCAGGCCCACAGGGAGGAGTTCTTCCAGAAGGAGGAGCTGCAAGAAATCGTCCGAAGTGGGATCGACACCATTCGCTTGCCCCTGACATGGGCCGCGTTCGCAGATGCATTGGCGCCTCTAAGTCCAAGCGTGTACGCAGCACACAACCCAGATACGGAAGCTCGGCATAGTCAGAGTTGAGAGTGAATTGTCAGCGAGGGCTTCATGTACTCTTTGCCTAGCATTTGTCATAGAGCACGCGCCAGCCAAGGAGACCGCTTTGGTCCCTGACCCCTTCTACCCAGACATTGCAGCCTTTGCCACTATTCCCCGTGCCGAGCTGGCCTCTTTTCTGCGCCACGCCGCCCGAAATGGGGCCACAGTCATCTTGGATATCCATGCCTTTCCTGGAGGCTCCCAGCAGGGCACGTACAACGGGATTTGGCCCAATCGCCCAGCCTTCTGGACCGAAAACTCCAAAGTTGGGAACCCCGTGCCGTTGACGGAGGTCGGGCGGTGGATCGTGCAGGCCCTGATTCAGTGGGCTGAGACTTTGGATCCTGAAGCCAAGAAGGGCATCAAAGGCCTAACGCTCATGAATGAGCCTGCCCATTTCAATGCGTGGACGCACTTTGCCCAGGAGGATGACGTTTTGAGCTGGCTGTCTGAGGCGGCAGACGACTTCCGGAAGTCCATGCTGCCAGCATATGGATTGCAATTGGGGTCACTTTTGTGCTTTGATCATTTAGTCAAATTATGTAATTGGCCCCTCCATCCCCCCCTTTTAACGAAACGAAACCGCACCTTGTCCAACGAAGCGCCCCTGTAGGTTCAGGGAGTCAAGCTGTACGTGAACATGATTGAGACAGCTTTCTCCCAGTTTGAGCGCTCAGCGGTTCCATGGTTCCTGAAAACCTTCTCACAAGAAGAGAGAGAGCAATGGGCGATTGCGGATGTCCATTGGTACGTGGCTTGGGATAGTGGCCACTGTGATGGTCGCACGGTCCCTTGCCCGCCATGGAGATGTCATGCTGACTCGAAGCGTTCCAGATACAACAACCCTTTCGCATGAACTGCCGCGAGCGGAAGCAATTTGTTCCCGCCATTATGCGGTCCCGATAACAACCCGACAGGCTATCGCAGCATAAGCTAGCTCCAGCCTTGCGTAGCCAGGGGACCTGGCAAGATTGACTGCTCAGGTGAAGGGCGGTGCCTTCAGCTGTTCTGCGCCGCTGGCCGACGTGCGAGGGAAGCTCAACTGGTGTGCACACGACGCTTCTTCAAGGCTCCGACACCTGTTTGGAAAAGGAGCGCTGCTTGAATAGGGCCATCGCGACAACAACGCTACTAATATTTTGCGAGGCTGGAAGAACACAACAATATGATGCAGACGATGCAATACTTGGTATTCCAGTCGAAGTAGGCAAAGGGTGGCTTGGGTAGGAAGATTCAGCGTCTTGCAGGACTGGTGGCGGTCACCGAATTCTCGGCGGGGACCTTCCACCAGGCCCGCTACGCCTGCAGCGACTCCAAAGTTGTACGTGCCTTCCTGGAGGAGCAGGCCTGCGGACAGGATGAAGGCTTCAAGTATTTGAAGATCTGTTTGCGGATTTTATGCAGAATTCTGAATGGATTGGTCAGGAGTGAAGATTCGTATTAGCCACACCATCTGACCCCTGCCCCATCCTTCGCCAGGCCTTCCATGGCGTTTCTTCTTTTAATCTCAAGGAGGAAGCATAAGCAGGCTTGCAATTCCCAGGTCAAAGCCTTCCGGTCCGACCAGATTGAGCCCTTCTTCTGGACTTGGAAGATGCCCTTCGGGCCAAACTTCGAGCCAGGCCGGGGGACAGGAGTTTAAGGATTCCTCAGGTCAGGGTGTGAGAGCCAAAAAGTGTCCATTTGCAACATGGAACCGGGTCCCAAATTTTGAGCTTTTCACGAAGACTGGAAGTCACTGAAACATGTTCGAGCAGTGTGTGAAAATGCTTACCCACGAACCTTTTTCATTGCCAGGCTGGAGCCTGAAATATCTGCTTGGCCTGGAAAAAGATCACGAGCGGGCATTGGGCTGTGGCGAGCCAGCCAGAAGCTTGCATGAGGTTTGATTGAGTTTTAAAGTGCTGTGCTTAAACCATGATCCATCGCTATTGCAACGGGGGTCAGGCTTAGGTATGTATGAGGGCCTGTGTTAGTACCGTGCAGCGCGCACATCCGAGGAACGATTCCAGCCAACGAGTCCCTGGTACATTTTTGATTACCCAGGGCTGATGGGTCAGACATTTTGGTTTACCTATCAGCCACCCCATTTTGAGAAGGTGCTCAGGACAGGGGCTTCCCGGCTGTTTTTCCACGACGTGTCGGGAGCCCTCCATGAGCACAACCTGGGATGCATTGAGCTCACTTGGAGTTCATGGGAGATGTACATGAAGGCATCCGACCGAGCTCTCACCTCAGCGTGGTTTCTGAAGGAGCTGAAGGCCGTTAAGGCCATAAATAACACGCAATCAGCTTAGCAACTAACTGCTTGATGGAGTGGTGGAACAGAGCTGCCAAACTTATTGGTGAGTGAGGAGAGCATGTGCAGAACTCCGCAAAACAGCTTCTTTAGAGCCCCTGCTGCGCTAGCTGGGCACAGAACTGTACAGGCTGCTCAGCCGTCGTCATTGATCAGCTGAATGCTGGTCTGTGTAGGTATCATACCCAACAATTGTTGAAGTGTAAATCTCCTCACCTTTTTGAACCTCTGGTGCAGCCAGGAAAGCCTGGCTAGGAGAATGTAACGTTCCGCTTACGGGCACATACCGACCTTTGAAGGAGCCTTTGAAAATCCTCGAAGCTGCCCAATCTTGCAGAGCACTGCTAAGTGCCGGGCTGAAGGCAGCCTGGTCAAAAGCAGTCTGCCGACTCGAGCGCGGCTCGTCTGAGACGGGACCAAAAACCAAGCTGTAGTGTGTTGATGAGCTTCGTTGCTTCACGCGTTGCATGCGTGGGCCTCTGCCTGCTGCCCTGTCGCTGAGGTCATGAAGTCGAGCTGCGCGGGAGACAAAAAAGCAGCTACCAGACCAAGCAGGGAGAGCCATTAGGAACTACTGGTGGCGGCCCCAGGCACTTGCCCGTGCTATGGACAGGCGGCTGCGCGGACTTGAACTGGGCTGTGGGACCGGAGTCGCAGGCTGCAATCCTCACAGGCAGGAACTGTTGCTAAGACGACTTTTGAGAACTTGGAGGCCTGAGCTTCGCCGTCTTGGGTAACGAGGCCTCCAGTCTGGGTGGTAGAGCAGGCTCAGGTTCTTCAAGGCAATGTGAATCTTTCAACCTTTACCTGGGCTCAGCTTCAATTTCTTATCAGGAGGTGTCCTCTCCAGCTACTGCAGGTGTTGCTCACAGATATCGGAGACCTGCAGGCCACCCTCACCCAGGCTGCCGTGTCTTCCTCTTTCCTCGACATGCCGCTACTTGCACCTGTAGCAGGGGAACATCACGCAGAACCAGGGTTCGATAGCGGCTGCCGGCGGTGCAGCCACCTATGCTACGTTGGACTGGAGGAGGCATGCTGACAACGTGCTACTTCTAGGAAAGAAGGAGCTTGCAATGCCGCACCCAGGCTCCCACAACGCGATCAGTACGGCTACTTTGACCTGGTCTTTGCAGGGGACGTTATCTGGTGCCTGACTCAGAGCTGCCAGGCCGTGAAATGGGGCATTCAGCTTCTCATCCCGCATAAGGCACGAGACCTTGGTGGAGCCTTTCCTGCAGGCAAGTTGGGAAGCCATAGCCTGAATTTCCCAGTCACGTACAGATAGTCTACCAACGTGCAGCTGCTGAGCCAACACTCGCCTATGCTGCACAAAGAAACTAAAAAACTGCCACGACATCTCATGGTGTGGCAAAGCTTCGGGCAGGCTGTTGCCTGGGCCACCTCAGGCCCAGGAGCTGGAGAGGTGATCCTCTCCCACAAGGCGGCTCTCTTGCTGTTGAAGAGGTTGATGTGTAGCCTTAGGAGCAAGGCATCAAGCCTTGCTCGGTGAAAGGTTCAACCTTGATAATTAGTTGGACAGGTCAGGGACCAAGAGTCCGTGGCCCTTTTCCAGCAGGCAGCTAACAAGCCCCAGCAGAGAGAGGCAGCTAGAGCTACCCAATATGCCTGTCAGATGCTGAGCTCACTGGGCTTGCAGATCGCCAAAGAGGCCACTACTTACAAAAAGGATGTTTTGTGTATTTTTGTATCATTGGTATGAGTAGAGTTGTAGACAGCTTCAGGTGCCCAGTGAGCAGCTCCTGGGTCAGGATGGCCACCCAGATGTGCGCGTGTGCTCCACTGCACTTGCTGCTTTTGGTTCCCCGTGCCTCATTTCAGCTCTGACGTTTTTGGAGTTTGCTGGCCAGGTATCACCTGAAGCGCGTGCACTAGGGCATCGCTTTCGTTAGCTGTTGCAACCGCCATGAACTGCATCCTTTGCACGGGTGTACCGCTGCGCCTCATGCGGCGGTTGCGGCAATATCGATTTGTCCCGCACAGATGTGCGGGCTGCGCACCATGTAGTGACACCAAAGATTCCGGGAGCATCTTTCAAGGGCCATGTTAAAGCCAGCAGAGCACTACAACATCATCTAACTAAAGATGCCGCAACTGCACTGCCCGTGACTTGCGCAATGGTTGAGAACTGCGACATGAATACCATGAGAAAGGATAGAAAGTAGGAAGATGATACTTCAAGTCAAATAAATGCTCTCGGTCTTTGTGCGGCAATGGGGCAATGATGCAGTCGACCCGAGGCTCAGTGTTTGTGACCATTCCCTTGGAGCACAATTGATGTAACCCAAAATCTTTAGCTTGGCTCAAGAAGACGCGGCAGGCTTGTTGCTGTCTGAACAACTTCAGACAGCAACAAAAAGGGGGGGCACCTGTTATCCTCGAGCGTTTTTCAAGGACCGCCCCAACTGAGCCATGTTTGGGAATGTGCGGTCTCCTGGAATGCTTGGCCCTGTCGCACACATGGGGCGCAAAGCAGTTCAGTGCCCGGACAGGGAAATCCCATCACTCATCTTCTCCGCGCTATCTTCCACGTGGCCTGTTGGTGGCTTAATTAATGCATTGCAAGTGTCAACTGCTCTTGGCACGGGGCTTGCGGTTATTCCATGTCTGCCTTCCAGGTCCGTCCACACCTAACTGGATTGGTGAGCAGCACTGTGGTGCTTTTAGGAAGCAGGCTGGCGCGGGCAAAGGCTTCTTGGCCGTCAGCAGCTTCTGATGGTGTCAATGAGTAGGTAAGCAAACAAGTTAGGGAGAATGTCTGCGTACCCAGACGGCCCTGGCCAAGCCATAGTTGAGGTTCGGCGTTGGCAGAGACAAGGCCAACAAACCGCGCAATGGCAGGAAGAAGATTTGGAGAAAGAAGGCTGGAGAACTCTGGGCACTTACCAGGATGTGTCTGATCCAGAAAATGGCAAGGCACAGCTTCTGGGTATCGGAGGGTACAATACTAAGACAAGCTACGTAGCCCTTCCTTGGCAAGTCAAACCAAGCAGGCTCACTCCATGATCATTCCGCAGCGCCCTGCCAGGCCACAATCTACTGGATTGGTGATGCTATACGGATCTGCCACAGCAACTATGGCCCAGTGCCCGTGAGTGATGGCAAGATTCTGAAGCACAAGGACGATGTCTATGAAGTCCAGATTGAAGGTATGCGTGGGCGGATCGATGCTCGCGGCTTTCGCTGTGGAGGCTACTTGAATCCACTCATTGCCTCTCATGAGCTGGATTCAAGCACGACGGATCAATCTCCACCTCTCATCTCCAGTGCAGACGGTGTTGAAAGTGGCACCAGCCAAGTGAATCCCTGTGTGGATGATGCAGCCATCCTCGCCTCTCATAATTTGGCTGTCATTTTGGGGACGGATGCGTTCGATGAGGATGACTACAAGTCCTTACTAGCCAGGGGTCCCTCACGAAGACTTGTCTCTGAGATGAAGGCCTCTCTTGGGGATGACTATGGAGGTTGGGCCTCTACTGACATGGAAGCAGACACTGCAGATGGAGAGGGGTCCAGAAAGCGGAAGAGGCAACAACTTCGCCGGCTGCTCTTCCTGCCCGGTGCTGGCCGCTTCTATGCCAAAGATGCATACAAGGACTGGTGTAGAAAACAGACACCAGCTGGCCGCCGCTTTCCTACAGTCGCCGAGCTCCGTCGTGCGGAAGGCTACATGTCGAAGCGTTTTCGCCAAATGGAGGGAGATGCTGCAGACTGTATCCGGCAGGTGCTTCTCGAAGGCCCCATGCCACTTGGTGTTGACCAGCACATAGGAGTTGAGCTTCAGTGGCATGTGCAACAATGTATCTTCTTGTTCAGAGTCGGCAGTGCTGCAACAAGCCTTTCCGAGTGCGGCTGAGGCACCTCGTGTCCTACGTGCTCAAAACGCACGCCTTTTGGGCCAAAGCCAACCATGCGAGGCGTCTCGACGAGGTTGCACGCCACCTACAGGATGACAGGATCTCGCTCAGTGCCACTGTCAAGGGTAAGGACGAGGAGAAGTTGGAGAAGCCTAAGCGCCTGATGGAAAAGGTTGAGCAGGAGAGAGTAAGAAGGCCTGGATTGGTTCAGGGGTCGCAGACAGGTCGTGTAGAGCTTTCGGTGTGCAACTCTGCAACTGCCGCAGGGATCATACTTTGCAGGCATTGCGTGATGCCAGCCAGCGCTCATGATTTTTCCTGTAATCTGAATCAGGTCTTTGGGGAACCCGGTAAGTTGATGTGACAAAACTTTGTTTAAGTGCACAAGTTTTGTGGCCTGATTTAGTGAAGGTTTCCTTACACATCACCAACAATGATCCACTCAGCTCGTGTGATACTATGTTCACGGCAGCACTGATGCTACAATGGTAGCCGGTCACTAGGCACAAGTCCCGGGCAATTGATACTTCCTAAGAACCCGAGCAACATGGTTTCTGGCGAGGCTCAAAGAGGAGCTTAGACTTCGAGACAAGCCTTTCACGCATCTGCAGAGGATAAATGCTTGGACCGTCCCCGGAACGACTTTGGAGTTCCGAGTGCTGGCAAGTCAGGCGGCCGTTCGCGAGGTCGCCAAAAAGCTGAAGAACTGTGCGGCCACGTGGATTCCAGACGTCGTTGCCCAGAGATCTGCGCTGGTAGGCTTGTTCGACACACAGGATGGCAAGAGCAAAATCCTAGCGATGGGGGAGTTAACGTGCACCCCGTCAAACAAGAAAGATGTCATAGTCGCGAAGTTCGGCCAACGTGTCCGAGCATGCAATCGAACATTGACAGAGAAACAAGAGAAGTGGTTCATACAGGCAGAGCCCCAGCTGTCCGCCATATGGACAAAGGCCATCAAGAGTGAGCTGCAAGGTGTTCTGCGTCCAAGCAACACCAACCCCGCGTCCGTGGACGAATTGAGCAATCTGGCAAAGCTTATGGCAGAAATGATGCTTAAAAGGACGACAATTGCAGAGGATTTTGATGGTTTGCTGCGGGATCCTGCACGGATGGAATGGGAGCGGTTGGCCAGAATTGTGATGAAAGCATATGTCAACAACAGCCCAGACGCGAAGTCGAAATTTCTAATCTTGCTCTCTGACTTGCCGTTCGAGAAATCAAAGTTGATTGATGCATTGACTCCAACGTTGCTGTCCGCTGCAAGAGCTTGTGACTATAAGCTCGTAGCGCGGATTGCTGTGAAGCTTGTTGCGGCCGGAGTGTCGGAATGTGACACCGCGAAACTGCGGGATGCAGCCCTCAGCGACACGAGGGTGACTCAAGCAGTTTTGCTGTCAGGCTTGCCGTTTGACCTGGGATGCAGACACGTGCAGGAAGTATTGAAGGGGATGGCACCAGATCCTCTTAAACTTCAGGAGCATCTTCTCATGTACCTTCCAGAGATGATGTCATCGGTCAACTTCACGACATGGCAACTTGCCCTGTATGGCCTGCCCCTTGGCAACATTGGGCAACACCTTCTTTGGCAAACGTTCCGGCGGCAACCTGATCTTAGCTTCGTCAAGTGCCTTGCGTGGCGACTCCTCATGCTGCCGCTGACTTCTGAAGAGCTGGGGCAAATTTTGAAAGAAGCTATGGGACTTGAGATGCCTGCAAAGCTCGCGGTTTTGCTGAGTGACTTGCCATTCGCGGTTCCAAGCCTCGTCGACGTGTTGACAGAAACTTTGGTATCCGCTGCACTCACACAAAGGCACGATGTAGTAGCAAGCATTGTGGCAAGACTATTGCAAGCTAGAGTGACAACAAGCGACACCACTCCGATCCTAGAGGCAGCTCTTCAATGTGATATGCGCGCAAGGCTGTCCATCCTGCTGACTGAGATTCCTTTTGATATTGGCAGCTTGGTCGGCGCTTTGACCCAGCCCTTGATCCTCTTCGCACAAAGGGCTGCAAGCGAGAGAGATGGAAAGGCATCAGAGGTTGTAAGGGCCATCGGGACCAAGCTCTCTGCCAGTGGAATCACGCTAGATGATGCGGATGCTATTGTCCGGAGACTTGCAGGAACCAGGGCTCAGCTTGAAGTCTTGGTAAGCGGCCTCTCCTTTCGAGCCTCCACCGTAAGGGGGCTGCTTCCAGGTATGTCGTCTAGTTTGGTTTCATCAGAAAATTGGGTCTTGGATTGGGGCTTGGCAAGGCAGGTCGAGAAAATGCTTATCTCAGCTGGTGTCACTGCTGTGGGCACGTCTGTTATCTTGGAGAGAGCGCTGCATCAAGAATGCCTCGACTTTGTGTTGAACTCCACTTTGCCTTTCGAGCCCAAGAAGCTGACGTGGGCGCTTTCAGAATTGTACTTGCAAAAGCTTGCCTTGAGAGAAGGTGCAGACACACTATCAGAGTTGGAAGAAGATGCAGACACACTATCAGCGATTGAAAATGCATGCCGACGAGCAGGGGCAAATCAAGTTGCGTGTTTCTCTTGTATGCTGCTTCTTGCTGTTGAGAAGCCGCTGCCGCACAAGTCTTTAATCAGAGGATTGGTGAAGAGGCTCAACTCCATGGGCATCACCCGGAAGGAGGCAGATTATCTCCTGGAGAATGCTAGGCCTCATCTGCGGCCAAGCTTCAGGCAACTGGACTTACCATTCTCGCGGGCTGCTTTAAAAAAAACGGTTCGAGGACCAACCGCCACTAGGGGTGGTCGGAACAGGAGAGCCTCTGGGCAGTTGAATGCTCTAGGATTTGAGGCCTAGTTAGACAGGCTTATAATTACCATTCAGTGTCTTGAGCAGCAAGGCCAGAACCCGACGTCTCAAGCGCTTGCATGCCCGGAAAAGAGCCATGCTGCCGCATCTCAGCAGCTGCATTTCAGCAGCTGTGCCCACGGGAGATTCCTGTAGATTTCTGACAAGCGCGAGTATTATGGGTCAGCTTTTAGACCGAGTTCCCTTACTTTGTCGATGGCGAATTAGGCACACGGTCAAGTAGATCAATTTTATCCTAAAGGAAGGTTGACGTGCGTGAGGGCAACTCAGCAAGCTTCTGGCGCAATGCCTCCCACTTGCAATATCAGCAAGATCAGCTCCTGAAGATATGTTTCGGTTGTACGAAGGTGCGTGCGCGAATGCGCCAATTCGCTCTGAGTACCACGCCTGGCCTGCGTTGGCGGTCCACAGCGTTTGTTTGCCAAAGAATAATTATGTGAAAGCTTGCACCCTCACATTGCAGTCGCAACCCCCCGCTAAGACCAGGAAAAGCCAAACCCAGCAAGAAGAAAGCTGTGATCTGTATGAAGGAATTGCTGACAGGCTGCTGCCTCTACACTTGTGAGTGTCGTTTCTTGTACGCTCTGAGGGGAAGCAAATGAATTAATTTAGTGATTTTTGCTTGATTCATAAGCAATCCGGAAGAGTGATCTGCATCATGGCACCCAGGTGGGACCAGTGCCTGAGAGACTGTTAAAGCGATCTCGAAGTGATCTGTAGAAGTGATTTAGGACTGATCTAGGAGGAAGTCTGGTGTGATAGATTTTGACTCACTGCGCTCACACCGCATTTTTTTGAAACCGTTGGCGCATGTGAAGCAAGCTTCGCAGGGCATCCACCTCGGCTGTACGTGGCTTCCCAGAACTTTCAATGTTTCAGGGCATGTAGTGAAGTGAGTAATTAATTGAGTAATCAACATAGATTCTCAGGAGATGCGTATTTAAACGTTGCAACAAAGACACAATCTTTAGATCCTAGCGTTTTGAGTTTTGAGCGCTGACATGGCTTCCTCCGGTGAAGACCTGCTTGAAGCAAACTGGGGTGGTTTGCTTGACGAAGCTGCAGTACACACCCAGACGTTATCCCAACTCACCGACGAAGCTGTTCAAGCCTGCCCGAGCTCGGACGAATCTTCTGCTCATGATGCAGTGCCTGTTTGCGAGAGTAGCGAGTCAGAAGGCCCCATGCCAACACAGTCGTGGAGCCTCAAACCTGCATCGCCCTGGTGGGCGTATAGGTTGGTGCACCTTACCAGGCAGTACTCTCGTGAGGAAATTCGCCGTCCTGTGAACATCATTTCCGGTTGTGCTGGAGTCTCGGCGGAAAGTTTCGTGTTCAAGGTGGGAAACCGATTAGCAGATTAGCAGAGCAGAGATTGGATCCATGTGATTCAGTAACGTCTGATGTCTGTTTAAGATCTGCATTTGCATAGGTCTTAAGCCTAGGCGTCCAAACATGTTGCAGCAACATGAATTCTGTAGATGGCAGTGAAGTACATAGTGCTTCTGCATGGCTGCCGCGCAGGCCCTGAACATTCCCTTCAACCTCATGTCTGCTTCGGACCCAGCGGCGCATTGTCGCGCCTTCGCAGATGAAAACCTGACAAATCATCAGGCAACACATTGGTTCGCAGGCATTAAGCAGCAGGCTGAAGGAACTGCGTGCCTTCGGCACCCGTACGCGGAACGCTGCCAAGGATCCCCAGTACAAGCAGACGTGGCCCTATTAGGGTCACCGTGCCACCCCTTTTCAAGTCAGAGGAGCACTCGTTGGACCAAGGGATCCGTTGAAGGGCATCCTGAGTTTGACATCAGCATGAGCCAGAGCTTGAAATGGATCAAGGCCTTTCTTCCAGGAGTCTTGATATATGAACAGGTCATGGGTTTCACACAACCATTCTTCGAGAAGGGTTCTGAGACTCCGCTTCTGCGGTTGCGTGGTTGCATGTGTGGTTGTGTGCTTCTGAGAACCGTGACACCTCCCAAACAGCCCATGACTCATCGTTCTTTCGCGCCTCACTGCCAACCCAGGTTCAAACAGCTACTGTTATCTCAACGAGATATTCAGCCTGGATACTGGCTTGTGACGCTGAAGCTGGACATGAAGATCTGGCTCCCCATCGCGCGGCCCAGGCCTGCTGGGGAGATTGCCTAGACTTCGCTTGGATGGCAAGATAAGGAGTTGGCTATTCTGTCTGCCCCCGCTTTTATGAAAACCTTGATTTACGTTCTGTGGGATTCTAACTGCAACATTTCCATCGAGTATGATTACTTCCACTTCAAGCAACGAAGGCAGTTCAAGTTGTGCTTTTGTTCGGCTTGAGGGACATGATTCCGGGCATTTCAAGCTAATTCTGAAACCAGGCAAAAGCAAACCACCCCTAACCCACCTGGTTGAAACGGTCGTGCAACCGAGAACATTGTACACTCTAGTGCTTCGGTATTTCTTACAGATGCAGAGACTTTCGAACCCCGAACCCAGCACACTCATCCCCACTTTGCTACAACTCTCGAAGCCCCTTAAGCCTAAGCCGGGAGAGGGGAGGAGGGCGGGGCCATGGTCAACAATAGGCATTAGGGACTCAAGATTCTGAGTAATTTGCCGGGAAATTAATGACGTGGATAGGGTTGTATGGTATTGTATCTTGTGTTTGGGCAGTCGGGTAGTCTCTCAAACCAACTGAAGAGTGAAACCTCCTGAGTTCCCCAAACCCTAAAGCACCGAAGCCCGCGACACCTTTGTGCGTGTGACTCATGTAGCCAAGAAGTCGTACTGCCTTACATTCTTTCAGGGATGTAGAGTGTAGAGTGTAAAGACTTCCAAATCTGCAACGTACCCCCGCCATGCACCAAGCTTCCGGCCTCTTGTATTTGGGGCAGTCAAACCAAATCAATGCCGAAACCTCCAAAACTTTGGAAACCTGACCCTAAGCCCTAAGCCCAGAACCACCGAAACCCAAGACATCTTTGCATTGGACTCACACAGCCAAAGAAATCGTACTGCCTCGCGTGCATTTGAGTGTAGAGACCTCCGAGTCCTCAGCCAAGCACAAGTACCCCTACCTTACGTACAATGAAGTCGCAGCTATTTCATCCACGGTTGTGCGACTGGAAGACAGGGAAGTTGCAAGGGTTCAGTTTACATGCTCCCTTCGGCGGCTATCCGGGTTTAGGGTTCAGGGTTTATAGAGTTTAGGAGGCTGCTATCCCAAATTCAGCATTTACATATCTCATCGTGCTCACACATGCAGTCCATTCCACATCACTTGTGGCGGTAGCAGTATCAGTATCATGGCTAGCAATGCGGAAGCTGACTGGGATGCCGTGTTCTTGGACACTCCGGGCGAAGACCCAGATGATGTGAGCAGGGGTGCAGAGATCGACCCTTCAAGTTTTCCTGATGCTGACCCGACAACCGTGAATGCAGACATCGACCCTTCAAGCTTTCTGGAGGCTGAGCCGACAACTGCAACAGAAGACACGGAGTTGGCTACACTTGCTGTAGCCTCCACCCCACCTCGCAGGCGGGGACGTCCAGTTGGAACCTGTGGCAGTGGCATCTTGCGTGAACACCAGAAGCGTGCGCAAGAGGCTTTGCAAGAAGAGGCTGAGGCAAAGCGCCCACAGCCAGGCAGCATCGAATATGCTCGGGCATGCAAGAAGAATCGGAAGTCAAAGCCTGCGTCAGCAAATGGGCTTGAGATAGAACTAGCTGAAGCAAGCGCTGGCTGCCGCAGTATCATGGACTCTACTTCTATATTGTGGAGAATACTGATGGAGCTAAACAACCCCCTGCATGACAGTTTGGTTGCTGCAGCGCAGTTCTCCACGCACCACCAGACCTCTGAGGTTCGAGAAGCTTCAGAAACTGCAGTTTTATTGAATCTGAAGTCAGAGGCCGTGATGTCTGACAAAGCGTTGCAAGCAGCAATGAAGGCACAGGGCTATTCCGGGAAGGTGCGCGTGGACCGGTTGAGTGAATACGCTGCTTCTGCGTGCGTGCTTGGTGCTGGCGCAGCGTGGACGGCGTCCCTGCATTGCATCCGCGAGCTGGTGACGCAGGGAAAGCTCAGGGGAATTTGTTTCCTGGAGAAGTGTCGTTACGACGAAACTCCTCTCCATGTACGGATTGAGGGGCAGCCGTCTGCGCATAGCAAATCTGCGTCCATGGAGAGCTGTCAGCATGGAAAAGTGCTCCAGGTAGAGTTCACAATTCACATGGTGCTGGAGGAGATTGCCTCAGGGCGCCGCTTGCTGTTTGCCGGTCGCCAGCCAACAGCCTTGCAGACCATGAATTCGACTACAGCGGAGTGTATCTTGAAAGCTTTGCAGAATGTGCGAGCAACAATTCCTGGTCTCGCAGAGGCTTCTGCTGTCTTCGAGCATTACATGCGACTGGCTGCTCCTGAGCTTACTACAACTACGGTATACAGCAAGTAGAGAGTCTAGAGTCTAGAAGGGAGCCAGTGCAGCTTTATTCTTTGTTGTTTCCATTTATTCAACGTGAAAGTTCCGTTTGTAATTAAGCGTAGGGATATGTAGCTTTTAGATGTCTAGGCGCCTAGGCTAAAGTGACAGTTTCGATCGGCAATGGCTTTGAGCCAAGGTTGTAGACAGATACGGGGCTAACTTTCGCGCTGAACGGGCTTTGGCTCACCAGGCCATTGCAGATGGCAGGCCAGAACGCAGTTTTGCACAAAAATGCGAGGTCCATATCATAGCGCAAGCCAACAAGGCAGCAATGGACATATTGGACGCAGACATATCTGGCTTGCTGTCAATGTCCCTGTCACAGCAGGGCAGCGGTACTCTGGGCAGTCTGCGCGCAATGCTTGGTGAAGTGATCGTGGACCTGCTGCAAATTTCACACGAGATGGCTCCAACAGGCAAGATCTCCGAACATCGCCAGGCCGTGCACGACTTGTTTATCCCCATACCATTGGATGCTGAGACTGGCCAAGCCGCTGGCCCAGGGGCAGTGCTGGCAATCCAGCGGAGATTCGTTCTTTCGTCCTTATTTAACGGGGATCTTGAAGATGAGACTGCCGTGACGCACCATTGCGCGTATGCATGTTGCTCTTCATATGAAGAGACTGAGCTGCGGTTTCGCACATTGGCGCCCTGGGCGCTCATTCCCCATAAGGCGCCGAGATATGCACGGTCAAAGTGGACCAACCACTCGGCTTCTGTGCAGTGGTCAGGTTTGATTTCGTGCCATCACCAGCTCCTCGTGAAGCTTATGCAACGCTGGGTCGGGGGGCCAGCAGAGAATCCCTCCACGGCCGCAGGCAATGCGGATGTGGACGCTGAGTCCGCAGTGTTCCTTGAAGACCGCTCCCAGGTAGATGCGCCGCCGCCGGCAGTTGATGAGCCAGAAGCTGATGCGCGGATGGAGCGTGACGAAGAAGTTGTGACTCGCTTTGGGGAGAAGTCACTTACCCTAGAAGCCCAGATGCCCAAATAGTAGGTCCTTGGGTTATAGACAGTGTAAGATTATATAGGGACTTAAGGACAGGACCCCAATATATAGGTAGCTGGGCTTCTAGGGTTAAGATTTGGTAAACTTATAGTAAGTAGTAGACACGGTCTAGGGTTTAGAGTTTCGGGGTGAGGGTTTAGGGTTAGTATTACGTAGAGATTGTAGACCCCAGCAAAACACATTCGTGATGTCTCAAAGAGGTCGCCCATTCACCTTATCTCCCTGTTTATTAGGACGGAAATCATATAATTAGACGGTGTCTTCTAATTTAACCTGTGTCTTGGGCTTAGTATACACCTTGCAGCCTAGCTCCACTCAAGTCCAAACCCTAAACCCTAAACTCTACACTGTAACCCTTGAACCCAAAGTCCAGAATCTAACGCTAGACTCTAGACTCTAGACTGGCGGAGTAAGGAAGGCTTCGATATCGCAGACTGGGTGACAAGGAACAAGGCTTTCAAACGCAATGCTTGGCGATGGGCACGCTCCAACCCTGGCCCCCGACTTTGCGTTCTCCAAACAGCGATGGCGGTCATGGCCTCACTGATGCACCGTGCCCTCCAGATAGCGGGGGCTGACTGGCAGCGATGCCAAGAGAAGAAACTCAGGCGTACTTGGAAATGAGTGATTACAATACCATTGTTAAGAAACAGCTAAAATTGTAATTTTTGCTAGGGCCGCTAGGGTTCCAAGTTCAGCTTAGGAAAAGCATGCAGGGCCAGCCCCGTTCTTTTCGGATGCTCGAAGCCGCGTGCTCACAAGACCTGCGGGACTACTTCGTGCAAATGATGCGGATCCTCTTGCAGCTGCCGCGGGCAGTTTCTTTGGCGACAATGACTCTTCAGTTGAAGCTGCTGATGGTCCGCGTGGTTTCCAGGGGCGTGTGCTGTTTGCACATGCTGCTTCGGCAAGCTCGGGGAATGCACCCGTATTTGCTATTTCGTTCCCTGGAGACTCACGACTACGACGACACGCCTCCCTGCCTTTGGGATTCCTTGCGCTTCTTCTTCCACGAGATGTTCCCAACGTTCTCGGATGATGCCAAAGCGTCACTGGAGGCTATGGCAGAAACGCTTGACAAGTGCATCAGTTCCATCGAGGCGCGGCATGCGCTGAGTCGTCGCCTCACTGTTGCAAAGGGGGTCCAAACTTGGACACCCAAACTAGCAGCAATGTCGGCAGAGTTTTGCCTGAGACAAGTTTTGTTGCAGCAACGAGCAGCCGCGGAGGTAGCAACTGATGAGCAGGCTGAGCAAGCCCAGAAGAAGCGATCGGGTGGAGGAGGTGCTTACAGGGCATTTCTCCATGAGCGCAGCGCTGGCCGCAAATTCAGTCGAAGCAGCATTCAAGAGTTGACCCAGGAGTTTCGTGAACTTACTGAGAGGGAGCGAGCGTACTACGAGGACTTGGGTGCTCGGGCAACTTATGCTCACCGCCACGGATTTCATGCTTTTGGGGAGCGTCGACAGCGAGCCAGCCCCGGCCTTCCGCAAGTGGCCAGCGCGGCTCAGGAGGGCATGCCCCTGGAACTCCGGCGAGCACCTTTAGGAACTTGGAGTTTAGGATTTAGGGCTTAGAATTTAGAGTTTAGTGCTCAATCTTAGGTTTCAGATGTCGCGCGCTGCTAGGTTGCTAAGTTGCTACGGCCTTAAGGTATGTTCCCTCTCTTGCAGGTGATAACACTGCAGCGCAGGCAGGTTAAAGGGAGTCTCGTGGTTCAGGGAGAAGATAATAGTAGGTAGTAATATTGTTCATTACAGGTGCGCTGTCTCACAAGGTCAGTTCAGCGGGGTTGCAATCGTAAGTTTTGGGGCAATGTGCCAGGCTGTCTCGTGTTTGAAGAGCTCTAGAGTCTAGGGTCTAGGATTGAATTTCGCCTACGATCGCTTTATGGGCAAGGCTGCTTTGTTGGGCGTTCTCTTGAAGGGACTACAGTTGCAGCGTTTCAGGCTTGGGGGCTTCAGCTTCTTCGGGGAGCGACAATATCACGGCAGATGCCTCAAACCCCACAAAGGCGTTGGGCGTATTCCATGAACCAAACCCGATGAACCAAACTCCCGCCGGTTGTTTTTGTAAGCCCTAGACTCCTAAAGTCCGAAGCCTAAACCCTTAACCGTGCAAGTGTAAGCCCAGGAAGACGGCGTGGTTGCGCCAGCTGCAGTCCGCGCTTTGGTTCCGGTGGCGACTGTCAACCTTGCGGAAGGTATGCGCAAGATTCGTGCTCGGGTGACCCAGCAACGCAAGCAGGAGAATGAGAAGCGAAGGGAAGAGGAGAACCAGATCCTGGAGTGGCAGCAGAGGTTTTTGTCTGACGTGCCCAGTGTCTTTCCAGGCATTCCTGCCGAAAACTTGTGTTCCTCCGCAGCAGCTGGCACTAACGGGCTCCATGGATACTTGAGATGGGTTCCTCCATGCACAGAGTTCGCGAAGGTCATGGGGCTGCCAAAAAAAGAGTGTTTGGGCTTAGGCAAAAAGGACGATGTCCTTCATCGTTTTTAATTGTTGTATTGGTAGGGTGGGGTAGCGTAGGGTGGGGTAGGGTAGGGTCTAGTCTAGACTCTAGACACGCGCATTTTAGGGTTTAGGGCCTAGGGTTAGGGATTAGGGTTTAGGGTTTAGGTGTCTTTTAAGGGTTTCGGGCTCCCAGTGATTGCTGGACAGGCGGTGCTCAACGACAGCAACACGGCTTCCCGATCCTGCGGCCTTCGGCAAAAATTACAAGGGCACTGGGAAGACTTGAGTGCATTGATAGTGCACGACCATCTGCCAGCCATTCGGTTTGACAAAGACATCTGCAAGAAAATGCACAAGCCTTCTAAGTGCTTTTTGTCTCGCCTGTGCATTTGCGGAAAAGGCCCCCGTGAGAACACCTACACGACTTGGATTGTTGGCAGGCTCATCAAGGCCATGAAGCAGGTCTTCTGGTCACAAGGCACTGGCAAGGAACGCAAGACCTCCAGTCCTCGGCAGCTCCTGGAAAATGCCCATGTCGTGGTGGCTCTTCGTGAGCGGGATTCGGAGGCTGCAGGTGTGTGGCTTCATGTCGGGTTTGTAAACTACAAAACGTGGGCGATGTCCACGTTTGAGTTCACATGCGTCAGACTGGACCCTTGTGTGCGCCGCGCTTGGCTACGCCTGATTGATGTGGAGGCATCCGACATTGCATACGTCGCGCAGCAGATTGACGATTCTGGTGAGGACACAGAGCTTCATGAACTTGGTTTGCAGGTGCGGACGATGCTGGAAGCTGTTAAGGCTAAGGTCGATTTCCAGCAAGCATGCGCCGCGTCGTTTTGGAGATTTGCCACCGATGTCCTTCCAGACACGCCTTTGCTTGAAGAGATGCTGCCTTGCTTTCTGCAAGTGGTGCCGCTTCATGAGGCTCCAGACGTTGTCGTCTGGGAAGGGTCAGCTGTTGAGGATGCGCCAAAGCCACCAGGCGGTTCCCAGGTCATGCTCAGCAGCTTTTTGTTTGAAAACGACTCTAGACTCTACACTCTACTTGTATTGTAGTGTCGTAGAGTGTCTTTGTTTTTTTTTTGCCGCGTGTTTTCACGATCCAAATCAGATCCCACCACACCTACCCCTAAACCCTAAACCCTTAAATCTTGAGCCCTGAACCCTTACCCCGAAACCCTAACCCCTAAACCCTAGACTCAACTAAACCACCTCCTCAGATTTCCATAGATAAACACCCTGCAGATGTTTGGTTCCTTTCAGGGCATTCCCCTTGCCCCCAACCTCTGCGCCCCAGGCAAAAAGCGAGCCCGTGAGCGGGATGCTGAAGACGCCTTTCAGGATGAGTTCATTGCGGAAGCTGCTGAGACGCAGCACGTCGGTGAGCGGCTGATGGCAACAGCAGTGATGAGGACGACATGCCCACAGAAGAGCAGGTCGTAGAGGAGGCCATGGCTTTGCTACAGGAAATCGATGTGGCAGACCCGGAGAAGGAAGAGGATGAGGCGCGCGAGCACGCAGTGGAGGTAGCCCCTGCTGAGCTGGTCGAGGCTGACGCAGCAGAGCCTGGAGACGTGCTTGGCGCCCAACCCAAGGTAGCGGAGGTGAGGTTTGCCTTGGGAGATGGCGCAGGCGAGCTGCGCTATTCCATTACGGGCCAATACATGCGGGCCTATTGCCCAATCCATGAAGACTGCGTGCGGCAGCGTGCTACTCGCGAACATCCAGTTTGCAGCACCGCGTTGGCAGCTGGACAGGGGCGTCCGCTCGGAGCCTTGACCGCCTGGTTGTCGGAGGCCCGAGACTACCCTAACAGAGTACAGCACGTTGCTGCAAAAACTGCCAGCTATGCGAAACGTTTGGAATCCAGGACAGCTTTCTACCTCTTGCAGGACGGTGTGAACTTCTCACTCCAGTACGAGCGTGCCCGTAGGGATGGTGAGGATGACGAGCCAGAGAAGATCAGGTAGCGGCAGCGAAGCTTGTAGCAGCTAGTAGCAGCTAGCGTTGGAGCCCTGCACTTGGAAAACGCGTGCACCGCGTAATCTCCGCATTGCCCGCCTGCAGTTAAGCCAGTTAAGCCTCTGACGGACTGCTTGCTGCGAACCCACCCCTCCGTGTGCCAGGCTGTACCTGGTGTTCCTGAACAAGGGCAAGTACACGAAGGACCAAGCGAAGACATTCAAGGACATCGTGGAGGAGACGGCACGTGCATAATTATCCACTAAGGGTTCAGGGTTTAGGGTCATCTACTTGGATCGGTAACCCCTTTGTTCGTGTCTAGCTTACCTGCTATACGCTTCATGGGTTTGGGGTCCGGGGTCTTTGATTTAAGGTTGCACGCCTCAAGGTTCCAGGGTCCCAGGAATTTTCATTTTGAGGCTGAAAGATTTGCGGTTAACGTGTAGTGGAGTGCAGGGTTGAGGCTTTCCAGCGGGTTTCCTGGGGCATGGCGGGCAGGGGTCTTTCTTCAACTAAGTGTCACTTGCGGCAGCTTGCCAGCGATGCTCACAAGTGTCCGTAGCTCCGGAATTGAGCCTGTGTAACTTGTTTTTGCACTGTCACAAAGCTGCCACTGCAACCACTGCCCCTTGCACCTGTAGCTCTAGGACTCTAGGCCTATAGATTTTAGCCTGATTTACTTCACCTGCCCCATTGCATCATGACATCACATGGGATTTCACTGCAGCCAGCTCACACTCCGACAAGGACATCTGCGCGCGCCAACAGCAGCTGCCAGCTCGCACTCTGGCGGATACGCTTTTGGCCGCGGATGATGCCTTGGTACAGCAAGGGTTGCAGAGGAAATCTTCCAAGGACCTGTATTGGGGAGTTCGGGCTGAGGTTTTGGGTTTGGAGGCTAGGGTTTTGGGGTTTACGACTTCAGGTTTCAATTCTTCCAGAGACACCTTACGGATTGAAGAAAAATCACTCTGTAGCATCACAGAGAATTCACTCATAAATCACTTCGAAAGTGATTTATGAGTGATTTTTCATGCCCTGAATTTTGCTCAAAATTCACTGTAGATTCACTGTGGAAGCAAGTTCGGAGTGATTTCGGGCTGATTATACAGTGATTGGGGAGCCATTCAGGAGTGATTTCAGAGTGACTTCAGAGTGATTTCAGAGTGATTCCGGAGTGATTTCGGAGTGATTTTTCACAGCGCGGTCCTGCCAGGATTGGGAGCTGCAATAAGAACCCTATAAATACCCGGGTAAGAGGGGTGATGTCCTGTGTAATAACATATAATGCAATACTTTAGCAGCTTTAGCAGGTTGCGTGGAAACATCTTGTAGGTTGTCATGGGGAGCCTGGTTCAGGATTTAGGGTGTGTTTAGGGGTTTGGGCTTAGGGGGTTTCGGGTTTAGGAGGGGGGTTCGGGGTTTAGTTTAGGTAGAGTTTAGGGGGGGTTCCAGTTTGGAGGGTTTAGTGTTTGAGGTAAGTTTAGTGGATTTCTAGTTTAGGGGGGGTTGCAGTTTAGAAGGTTTAGGGTTTAAGGTAAGTTTAGGCGATTTCTAATTTAGGGGGTGGGGTTCAGGGTTTAGGGGGGGTTGCAGTTTAGAAGGTTTAGGGTTTAAGGTAAGTTAAGGCGATTTCTAATTTAGGGGGTGGGGTTCAGGGTTTAGGAGGGCGTTGCAGTTTAGAAGGCTTAGGGTTCAAGGTAAGTTTAGGCGATTTCTAGTTTAGGGGGTGGGGTTCAGGGTTTAGGGGGCGTCCAGTTTAGAGGGTTTAGGGTTTAAGGTACGTTGAGGGGATTTCCTTTTTAGGGGTGCGGCTCAGGGTTAAGTTTAGGGGGTCTGGAGTTTAGGTGGGTTCCCGCTCTCAACTCCTCGAACCCTACACCCCCTGGGCCTTGAAACCCCCTAGACCCTAAAACCCGTAAACCCTGTATATAATACAGACTTTAGAGTATAATCGCTTGAGCACTAGATGCCATAGCCCTAAACCCCCTACATTGCTTCCCAAGCAGCCACGGTTCTGTGCCTCTGCAGATAAGGCTGATAAGGCAGTTCCTAAGGGTTAAGAGGAGCTTTGAGGTATTGCCGGCCTTCTTCCGCGGTGCCAAAAATCACTCCAAAATCACTTTGGGAGCAATTTAATAGTGATTTTAGAGTGATTTCGGAGTGATTTAGGAGTGATTTAGGAGTGATTTAAGAGTGATTTTATAGTGATTTGGGCTTGATTCGGGATTTCAGGTGGGCCAGGGAGTGATTTTGGAGTGATTTTTCGGAGTGATTTTGGAGTGATTTGGGGATCATGTTCCCTGATTTGCAAAGCTATGCGGGAGGCGTCCACGGCAGGAGTGATCCTTGAAGCACATTGCCTAGGTTCGTCAGACCTTTTTTTTTGAAGCTTGGACCTCGCAATGAACCCATTTCGACCCAACGTAGTTCTAGACTTGTAACCCATTTACAAGAAAAGGTTCTAAATGTACTCGTTAACCGTATCCTCGACTGTGTAAGTGGAGCCATGCCGCACCATTGCAGAGCAGCATATGGGTGGTTGTCAAAATTATGGTGTTTTTTTGGATCCCTATTATAGTACGGCGCCTAATATTCAGGGTACCCCACAAGGGACCATAATTTTGACACCCACCCATATGAGTTGGGGTTATACGCAGAGGCCCCAAACCCTAGATAATCCCTAGACCCTTGCCTGTGTGTGCGTACAATACTTAGGGCTGCCGCCCTCCACAGACCCGTCCACAACCCTTCCTAACGTCTCCAGAACAAGATTGCTCTATCCCTTTCCACAGAATCGTATCATGAATGTGGGGCTGCCGTGACTCCTTTTGAGGCCCCTGCAAGACGTTCCATGAGGGTGGCCTCTGAAGTAAAATTACAGTAGAATCTAAGTAGAACCACTTGACATCTTCAAGCACCCCGCCGTTAGCTACCTGCTGCCTCTATATCGATTCCTCACAGGAGCTCTCTGGGCTGCACCTCCAACCAGCGCGTGCAGGGAGGTGGCAGGAGGACAGCGCGAAGTGGCGCGCAGAGCTAGGCGTGCTGCGCACCTATCATCCATATACCCAAACGCTTGACTTGCAGAAGGCAGGCCTGGGTACTGTGGGGTGCAAGCGGACACTTGATCTACTGGACTGCGTAACACTAGCTGCTGCCAAGAAAGCTCGCACAACGGTGAAGAGGGTAGAGCAGCTTCTTTCGGAAACACTCGTTGATGTGTCACAGAGTCATGATCGGCGGCCCCTTCCTAAACTGGAAGGGCCCAATAGATGCCTCACAACCAGCAACGCAGATTGCTGTGCCCAGTAGAGCATATGCTGCTGCAGGGGTATACGCTTCCCCTGCAGGTTCCCCAAACGGTCAGCAATCACCAGCTGACATCAATCGCTGGGGAAGGAATAGCCCTCCCCAATCTTGCAACAATAGTATGGGCACTGAAGCTGACGGCTAACTTTCCATGAAATGAACTCAAGCTGGCTGTAGCATGCGTATAGACTGTGGACCAGACAACATGATGTGTGTATAATGCTGCAGCCAGCATGTCCTCTGGAGCCTAGCCTGACTTCCACGGGTGCAAGATCCGTCGGTTACCGGAATCTGGCCCTAAGATGCGGGAGCGCTGCTCGTGTTCTAGCTTCTATACATACTTGGAGGTTCGTTGTACTTATAACCTACTTATTCATAATTGTAGTTATAGCCCAAGTATAATTCCCGTAACCACAATTACCCTAGATATAATTGGGTTGTATTAAGTACGTTATAAGTACAATGAACCTCCAAGTACCTCCTAGCTAGCAGTCCCATCCTATAGCAGCTATCCTAGCGTCACCAGGGCTACGTAGCAGCTACGTCGCAGCTGTGCGGCTACAGTGCAGTCTCACAAGCAGCCCAGATGGCAAATATGCCCACGCCGCAAACCCTATAGACTACAGACCCTGTAGACTCTACCCTCTGGCTCAGACCCCAACCCCAATTTCGGCCAATTCGCAAACCCTGAATCCTGAAAAACAGACCCTAGAGTCCTAGCTAATCTCATCTAGAATCTAGACAAGCCTGGCATGCCTCGTCCATGCGCGTGTGGCTGTCTGGTCTGGTTCTGCACGTAAGAAGGACGAAGCCACCTAATGTACAGATTTTTGAACCTGCGTGTCGAAATTAAAGGTGGATTGGGTGCATTGCAGTGATGGCCTAGCCGGCTGCTATGCGTATTCTGATGCTTCTGAATTCCTCTGGCAACAATGGTTCTCTTGACAGGGTTTTGGACGCAAGCGATCGTAGGTCGTAGGCCGATCTAGGTGCTGAGTGCCATCCGCGGCATGGTGACTCACAAGGCCAAGGCACCCTCGAAGCCCAAAACGAACGTGAAGAAAGAGCCTTCGGAGAAGTCCAGAAGCCGGAAGGCGTGGCAGCTCCAGGGATAACAACCTGCTTAGGCTTAGTCCTAGTTGTCAGTTCGAGGTTGCATTTTGGCTAGGGGCTGAGGGTATATTTGATGGCTGTTCTGACTGTTGCGGGGCTTCAGCCTTGTCTTTTGTTTTCAACGTCATTGCCCTGAATGCTGGAATGGCACCCCAAAACTGCAGCTTGCTTGCAAAGCCCACAATGCCGTTACTTATTTGGGGTTTGGGGTTTAGTGTTTAAATATTATGTTCGTGAAATGTTTCGTAGTCTTTGCTCTTTCTTTTCGGTCTGCCAACAATCACAGCAACCACATGCCCCCGCCTCACACTCTTGATGGATGAAATCTACTAGGGGCCCTCAACTACTGAGACTGTAATTCCTAGGACGTTAGGGATGTAACGTGGTATAAGATGGTGCAGGACTTCCTCCGTCAACAGTGTAACCGCCTTGGAACTAGGTGGCTGCGCACGACCTACAACCTACAAATAATGCGCGGGAACTTCCTGCGCCAGTCCCCAATGCCCCAAGCCGCAACTACACCAGCCTGCAAAGCCTTTACCGGTTACTAGCATGCGCTAAATGTCTACGCTAAGTCGCAGGATGCAGTCCTGGCCGTTCCGCCGCCGCCGCAGGCGGCGAGCTCCGCCAGGCTATCATCCTCGCGCGCTGAAGGAGAGCGTGCCAAGGTTTGCGGGATGTGTCGCAAGAAATCCACAGAAACATGTCAACAATTCATCCCTACTGATTCATCCATACTGCTTCAGTTTTTGTGAGGCTATGTAACAACTAAGAAAAATGCACACGCTTGGTTCCAGCGCCCGTGTGCCAAGGAAGTGCAGTTCCCAACAGATGGGAGCGGCAAACCGACCGGCAGTGGCTGCTGCGACTGCATCAAGTGCGTGTTCGACTTGGATCCCACCCTACCCTTTGCCAAAGCGGTGGCACAATACCACGATGAACAATTCTTGCCCTTCCGCAACAACTTGAATGCTGCAAAGCGAGCCTCCATGGAGCGTGAGTCAACAGACAACCGAGCGATCAGCGTACCCCACAGCGCAACACGAACTACGGAGTTCTGTGCCGTGCCTGAATTCTGGTTAGAGTTGTGGCCATGGAAGAGAACGCATGCGAGTTTGGATTTCTTTCTTACCCTCAATAAGGTCAGGAGCTCGTGCAGGAGTATGGAGCGCCAACAGAGCGCCAAGTGTTGCGGCTTTTCGGCGTCACCAGCAATCAGCTAGGATTGCAAAGGCTCGAGTTGACGGACGAGTCTGCAAAGGAGGCCTGCTTTGCAGCTGCGCTACATCACTAATCCACTAATGTGAGTAAACAGGAGGGCATAGTATTTGCAGTAGCTACCTAGCGCGAAAAGTAGTACTAGTAGCTAGTCGTAGCACGTTGGTAGTAGGAATAGTGAGTAGTTGTAGTAGTAGTAGTAGTAGTAGTAGTAGCAATCGAAGGAGGAGGAGGAGGAATGGATTTTGAGTACGAGAATACCAGAGTAGTAGTATTATGTGTTCTTCTTGTCCTTGTTGCATATCTTGCGGCCCCCATAGTGTAGAGTAGCGCCGTGGTACATATGTTGTAATTGTAATACATACAAAGAGAAGAGTGGAAGAGTTACGACGGTGCTACGGTGGTCGGAGGACAACTAGGCGCCTCTTAGGAACCCCAAAATACTGCCATTCCCAGGGTATAGTCTAGAGTAAAGTAGAGAGTGTAGTGTAGAGCATGTAGGGTGGTGCAAGATTCCTCCATCCATCGTAATACTACTGACTACTGGTCGCTAGAAGCTAGTTGCCCCACGGGTTGTGACAAGAACTGTTCAACAGGTAGCCGTATTTCCAATCGAGCTCTTCGGGATTCCGGAAGATAAATTGCGAGGAATGAGGACATTGCGGCTTTCCAGCAAGGTCATCGTGAACCACGATGAACATTATCTTACCCCCAGTTCCCAGATTCACAAGACGCAGGGCAATAACTGGCTGTCTTACTTGCAAAAACAGATGGTGGCTCAACGCTCTTCTGACAGAGCCGGCAAGAAGGGTTTGATCAACGTGCCAAGCTACGAGGACCCGCACCTTTGGGCCTTTAAGGATTGCCGCAATTGTAGCCGTGTTCTCGGTCTTCAGTCTTGGGTATTTCAGGTTCTTCGGCGATGGCGTGTGGTTTAAAGTTTTAGAAGGGAGCTATTGGAGGGCGTGGGGTATTGGAGGCTTTCGGATATTCGGGTATCCACTGTTCAGCTGAGGGTAAATTGAGAAGATGAGGTACTTAGGTTGCACATTGAGGTGTGAGATTCACCCATGTTCTAGATTCTAGCATATTCCAAATCATTCTAAATTGATGCCGTCGCACGCCTTCTAGAAGCTTGTTGCTGCCTGTAGCTACTTCCTCTCTACCATCTAGAGTATGCCTGAGTATGCATCCATACGCTTACACTTACAGGTGCTGGCGGATCCTAGCACTTTAGCAGGGTTGCTGCTGCTACTACTACGACTACGACTACGACTCTTTGTCCTACTCCTAGTACAACTGCGACTAGCCACCCTCCCCCCTACCGACTATGTTCCCTTAAATGATTTAACGTAAATATCAGGGTGAGCTGTCGAGAGCTTAAGAGAAAGAGGGTAGTGGTGGAACTTGCCTCAATCATGCAAAATCAGCATGTTTGCCAATAGATTTGCTTATGCGCTCTTCGAATTGACGTCGCTCCCACCCCGCACCCCCCCTTTCCCTCCCCTTGCACGGATCTCCCGGCCACTCCCCAGAGCCTTGCGCGGGCATCAGCGTTTCAAAGCTAAGACTTAGGACTGGCGGGGTGAGTAGATCAGGGTAATTAAACTAGGGCCTCCACAGGCGGGGTGAGTTGATCAGCGTAGCTAAACTAAACTAGAACTATTACTACTATTACTACTACTACTACTACTACTACTACTAACAACAACAACTACTACTACTACTACTATTACTACTACTACTACTACTACTACGACGACGAATCCAGCGGCGCAAGGACCTCCATGCGAAGGCCATGGAGTTGCAAGGCGCGCTGGGCGAGCACCAGGTTGCGGAGTATGAGGAGGAATCCCACACGGAAGCTGGTGATGGCGAGGAGGGCCAAGATCACGAGGCTGCCGGATTCTTGGATAAGGTGAGGGTCGAAGATCCAACTGCAGCCGTGCGCCGGGCTGTGGGTGAGCGCGAAGACTCGGGCACTCGCAAGAGGGCCACTGCTGCACGCGGTCGTGGCCGAGGTCGTGGAGACAGCAAGAGGGTGAAGACGGAAGAGGCCCCTGAACTAGAAGATGCCGAGGAGGATGAGGAAGGAGGTGGCGAGGACCACAAGATCGACTGGGAGCTCTTTAAGAAGCGTGATCCGGAAATGTATGCTGTCGCAATCAAGCATTACGACCTCACCGGCAAAGCTTCGTGGTGCTTCCATGCTTTGAAGGTTGAGGGTTTCCTGACAAACCAAAAGCTGGGTCAGGTGCTCAACGGCATGACTCGGCCGCTGGGGTAACCTCGAAACTAGAATATAGAATCTAGAATCTAGAGTCTAGGGTCGAGAACTTTTGCATCACCAGCCATGTTGCACTTCCCTTGCTTGCTTGCTTGCTTGTTTGCTAAGGCCAAACGGGCAAGCAAGGTGCTGGGCGACACGCAAGAGCGCACATCCCTGGATGAGCGCATTGCGGCATGTGACGCAGCGACACAGGTGGCTACAAGGCTTGCGCCCATGGGCTACCTGAAGCTAAGCGAAAACCTGCTGCTCCTGGAACCGTTTGCAGAGGAGTTTCCCTTCGGCTTGAAGCTCAAGGTGATCGAGAAACTGTACATTGAGGAGCTGGGAGCCGTTCTTTGTGGATCCAAGCGAATCGATGAGAGTGAGACTCATGTCGAGATTCAGCGTTTGGTGGACACTTTCAAATTCTGGGAATCTGACAAGGGGCAGATTGCCAAAGGAACGTCAGGGATGACTCCGGAACAGCCCAGTTTCCTGCCAGCCGTGTGTGAGCTTGAGGCCCGCATCACCGACGTTGGCTTCGATGGGGAAGAAGACGAGGCTTTCCAGCAGTTGGTCCTCAAGCAGCGTTCCCTCGAACGTCGCGCGTCCAATGAGTCCGCAAAGTCCAACTCCAACGAGGACACGTTGGATGACGGCAAGCAACTTGGGTTGGACGTGGAGGCCTGCGTGTGTGCTGGGCTAGGGGATTAGGGTTTAGGGTTTAGGGGTTTAGGGATTAGGGTTTAGGGTTTAGGGGTTAAGGGTTTAGGGTTTAGGATTTAGGGGAGGGCTAGGGGCTATAGGGTTGAAGTTTAAGGTTTGCTTCAGGTTTAGGGAGTTTATGGTGGAGGTGTGGCTTTGTCATCTTTAACCGGTTGCTCCTAATCTAAACTTACTTTCCGAGTCCACCTACCCCTCCAGGTTTAGAGTTTATAGGCTATCTAGTGACTAGTGCGATTGCGCGCAGGCTTTAGGCAAGAGCCTGGAGAATGTGTTCCATTCGGATGTGATGACAAAACTCCTGAACCACGTCAAGGATGCCAAGCTGCTTGCGAACCTCAAGCTTTGGGTTCGAGAGTTCTTGTCGGCGGTGGAGTCCGAGGAAGCAAGGGAGTGGAAGGGAAATGATGCGCTCGGGCAGCGCCTTGCAGCCTCCTTCGAGTCTGCGACACGCTTCTGCAAGATGGTTGCGTATTTGCTGCAAATGGATGTTGCTGGAAAGCCGTCACTTGCTGACGTCACTTGGTTTCCGGGTCAGTGTTGAGGATACTTTCTTCTTTTCGGGGTATGAGTTTCTTTGTGTTTCTACATTGGGTTGAGGGTTTAGGGTTTCAGGGTTTAGGGTGTTACTAGATAAAAGATCCCTTTTTTCTTCCTGGGGGAATATAGACTAGACTAAGGTTTACCGAGTACAGCGGACCGACATCCTTATGGAGAAAGACCGTGAAAGCCATTTTGAAGATGCCAGAACCCCAAGGACAACACTTCACGGATGTGAAGGCTGCAAGCCGAGAATTCTTGCGAAGTTTGTAGATGGCGTTCGAGCTGCAGCCACTGAGGGCCCTGCTCTGCAGGTCCTAAAGACTTTAGCAGCTCTCCTTGTCTTCGCATGACATGGTCATGCAGCCTCGATGTTGCCGACCCCTAGCAGAAGTTCTACGCCAGCTGGCAGATCTCGAAAAGAATCTGCGCAAGGGAGGCAGTAAGCAGCTCCGAGATGAAGCAATTGGCTTCACGCAGAACATGGCGGAGAAGGCGACTCTTGGGGAAAGTACGAGCCATACTGTAAACTCGTTTTCGCTTTAGGCTTCTGGGGTTGTCAGGGTTGAGTGTAAAGTTTTGACTGCTTTGGGCTCGTGGGGTGTAGGGCTGAGGGCCTTGCAGTGTGGTGAGGCTTCTTTTGGGCTGCGTCTGAACAGTTTAGACTATAGGTCGTTTCGAGTTTCATTGTGTTGCTGAAGTGTTCGGATGTTTTGTCAGGCGCTTGCCTCAGCAACGCCGTCGCTTCTTGGGGAAGACATCGACGCCCTCCTGCTCTCCTTAAAGACCTTCACCGATGCCAAGAACTTCCCTGCTTTGCGAGCTCAGTTGCTGCAGTGGGCCACGACCCACAACAGTGCCATGTGTGCGCAAGCACTGGAGTCTGAGTTGAAGCAATTTCTCGACGCGGCGCAGGGTCAACAGGCCCTGACTGAGCTGAAGTTCGATGGTCCAAAGGTTCTGGACTTGTTGGGGAAGATCGCCAAGCCAATGCCCCAGGCTGTGTGCCAGGAGCTCATCAACACGTTTCCGCACCTCTTCAAACAAGTGCTGGAGAAGGCGGCAACGCCGTGAATGATTGCTTTTGCAAAGCCCTTAGAACCTGTGCCGAAAGCCCCAAACCATACTGGAAGGTCAGGGGAGGGGGGCTCTGCAAGCAGGTTAGTCATGAGGACAAGTAGGATGCTTGGGCTTGTTATGCGGTTTGTAGGAGTTATAAATATACTTACATATTATTTGTACCTATTGAGCCCCCCTGACCCTCTAAGTAAACCTCGACTCTCTACCCTAAACCCTTTAAGCCCTGACTGCTAAACACCTCAGAGCTTCTCAGTCTCGTGTATGGAAGACAGTTAAGCCGCCTGCCGCAGGTCGCAGGAGGTGAACTGCCCTCGACAGCCCTCCTGGCAAGCATCAGCGTGCTCACAAAGATGGCCACAGGGACATCTCATTCTCACGAAATCATTGCCACCTTGAAAGTCAAGGCCGTGAAACAGCAGATGCTGTTCATGTGGAGCCTCAGTGACCTTCAAGGTCTTGGAAGAGACAGCGCGGCAAGGCTCAAGAAAGACACCACATTCAAAGTCATGAAAAATGTGAGCAGCAGCTTGAGCAATCGCGACAGTCTCTTCCAGGAGATTGCTGATTGGAACGCCGCCAACGCCGAGAAGGTTGCAGAAGTGGCTGCTGCAAACGATGTCTCTCCACAAGATGCCATTCTGGGCATTGACATTGTGGGCAAGATCGCTGGCCGTGCTCCCTGTGAGATAGACACAGTCTACAGCGATTGTGCAGAACACCAATCCGCGGAGTATGGAAACATACTGCGCGGGGCCATCTACAGCTTGGAGAAAGTCTCGCGCAAGTACTACGCAGGAGCTCAGAATTGCTGGAAAAGCGATTTTGGGGCCGAGGCCACCTTGTCGCAAGTGTTGGCCAAGGCATCAGCGACGCTGTTGCAGATCCCCATGGATGGATTGAAGTCCGAGCTGCAAGCGTCAGAGAAGGCAAGTTGTAATCTGAAAGCATATCGTTCCTCTAGACTCTTGCGCTAGTGAACCACTACTTGCCGCTCAAAATCTAGGCGCACTGAAATGTCATTTTCACTGAAGTTTACATGTGAACCCAAATGAACGCAGGTGGCATGCACTGTGTCCTCCTTCCTGGACATCATCGGCCCAAGCATGGAGGCCTCGCGGACCTTGCAGGAGCGGCTGGATGAGCATAATGCTTTGTTGATGTCAGTGCGTGTACAGTACACAGAATCGGCCCTAGCATACAGCCTGCGTGGCCTTGCTAGTGGCTCTTCAGAGAAGAAGCCCGCGGTATTGAAACAGATCATTACCGAGCAAATCACGAAACTCAACCAGAAAGTGGGAGCTCCCTCAAAGGAGGACGACCCCGCATCAGGTGAGAGCTTGATTCAGCCAATCTTGCTGGCTGCAGCCAAGCAACACATGTGAGCTGCGCTGCTTGAGCGCAGCACGCTGCGCCGTCATTTCCGCAGAGATAATTGTAATTAGCCAGGTTACCGCTACAAGCTAGGCAAGCAAGCTAGCTTTCACGTTTATGTCACTATGTCCACTGGATGTTGTTAAAGCTTCAAGGTCAAGGGTTCATATAGTCATATAGTCTTTGTTTGCTCGTGGTGTAGGGATGTGAGCAGTTCCGGTTACTCTGATTTGCTCGCTCTTTCTTTTCTTCTCAGAGTTTTCTGGTACTAGCTTACTAGCATGACTCTTAGGCTTGATAGCTTCATGTTTGTTTGGGGCTTCAGGGTTAAGGTATTTTCAGTCCAGGGTCTATAACGGTTTAGGGTTTATGGTCTTAGGGTTTAGGATTTAGAGCTTAGGTTCATGGGGTTGCGAGCTTTTGTACAAGCACCACACAGACGAGGAATCCAGTACGCTGCGCAGCGTCTTTCTAATCAGTGCTGACAGCAGCTGCTGCTACGTGCGCTCAAAGAGCCACGCCAGACCACAGGACCTAGAGCAGTGTGCAAAATGAAGTAGCGTCGGTCCGATATCAATCCGCTTGCTGAAGAATTGCTTTTTCTGATCACTAGAAAATCACTCTGACTCTCCTGCAAGCCGAGTGGGCTTGCTGCTGCTGCAAGGCCGGTTCACTCCCGAATCACTATTTGGAATCACTCTTGTATCACTCCAAAATCGGCAAATAATTATTTCATGGATTCCAGCCCCTGCCCGCCACCGACAGTCACAACTCTACACAAGGGCTTCTGGGAGACTTTCCAAACTCCGAAATTAGGCAGCACAATGTGAAGTCATCGTTCCGGCAGTTCTTGATTGTGAAGCAACTGCACAAAATGGCTGCAAAGAGGCGCAAAGGATCTTGAGCTAGAGAGCAGCAGCTGCAGCAAACACTCAGTCTGCCATACCATAGGGCATTGGCAGGCAACACTTGACTGTTGCCTTCATGTGCCACTCAAACTTGCAGGCGGCAGTGCTCTTTGAAGTCTCAACGCTCCTCCCTCACCTCTTTCACCTGAGCCATGAGCTTCCCGATGCAAGAGGTGGCACGGAATGTGCTGCGAGTTGCGAAGCCAGAGGGCATTCCTATCTTCCATGGTTGGAACGGCCAACCATTGCGTGTGCCCCCTGAAGAGTACAAACGGAGACTTGAAGCTGTCCGCAAGTTCATGGATGTGGACGGTATTGGCCTGCTGGTTGTTGTGCAGCCCGAAGACCTATACTACCTTACAGGCTTGTACACCATAGGAGACTCAGCCCCCCAAGCGCTGGTTCTGCCCAAAGACGCACCACCATTCCTCGTCGCGAGGCTTATTGAGTTTGACCTGGTCCCAAAGCTGTCCTGGGTAGCTGAGGTGTACACCTGCCCAGACAGTGCCAGCATCCATGATGTCTTCTGCCATGCTGTGTCTCAGTGCCTGCACCCAAATTGCAACCTGGGATTGCAGCTGGCTTCCATCTCAGCAGCCCATTACCTCCGGTTGCGCACCTTCTTTGCTGCCTACCAGATACTTGATGCCAGCAAGACTGTTGAAAGCGCCCGTCTTCAAAAGTTCGAGTTCGAGCAGGAGTGCATCCGGGCCGCGTCTGCTATGTCCGAGGCAGCCCTGCAGAAAGCCTTAAACTCCCTGAAGCCGAATCTGCTCCTCAGTGACCTCCACGCCGAAACTGGGTTGCTTTGCAGGAACTTGAATTCAGTGATCAACGTGATCAACAAAAAGACACGCCAACATGTACTGTACATCTTCTGGTAGGTCATAACATTTGCATAACCCCTAGATAACCCGATTTTGATTTGATTTTCCATTTGTTCTACATTATAGGGTAATTTAGCCCGAACCCCTGTACAACCATCATAGTTCTGTCGCAGGACCATCTTGACAAGTTAATTTAACTTCCTACCGGTGTAGTTGTAGCCCTTCCATGGTCCTAGCTTCCATTTTCCTTTCCCTTCCTTAAGCCTTAAACCGTGAACTTAATTCAAGTTCCTAAGCACCAAGCCCAGGAAACCTATGCTGCGCTGATCGCAGCCGGCAGCGAGGTACCCGGCTATGTGCCCATCGTCCGCTCGACGGATCCGTCTGGACACGGGTCCTGGATGCCGGCAGAGACAGCCACGCAGCATCAAATGGAAAGAGCCAGATTACTGGGGTCATGCAGGGCTTTCAGTCCATTCCTCCATTTTTCTCAAAGCTGGTAAGTTATCCATCAAAGTCTAAGTAGATGGTTGCAAAGCCAGCATCGCCCAGGTTCGCCCGGGCCACCTGGTCTTCCTTGAGCACTCTGCGTGCAAGTTCGGGCACCACGCTCCACTGATGCGAACTGCATTCATGCCTCTTGGACTCGCAGGCTGTTAGCGCGCTGCCTAGAATCCGAACGACTGTGGCAAAGTGTGGCAATTTGTGGCAATTTGGGTGTGGGAGGGACTTCGTGCTACTGATAGGTACTTACTCAAGTTGAATCAATACCTGCATCGGAGACGGAGGAAAAAGCGGACGCTGATTTTGATATCTGCCCATTTGCAAGTTTCCAAAGTACAAAAGTCATACCGCGTAAGGCCCCCCATCATCCCCTTCCAACCCTAAATCATCCAATTTGTATATGTGATCGCTAAAAGGTACCGAAGGGACCCCATCCCCCATTTATCTCCCAGGCTGGGGGAAGGCGACTCCGCCCCACCAACCTGGCTACTTGAGGCTCGCCACTTGGGGCGTCGGGCTTCAGAGCGATTCATTTGCGTAGAAAACTAATTCATAGGCATGCCATACCCTATCCCCCCAAACATATCCTCTCGATGTAAAGTCTTACTGAGTTCGTCCAGAACAAAACCTAAACCCCTAGAACACCAGACTTCTGTCCCGAAGCTGCAGGTTTTGGGTTTGATTAGGGACCTGGGGATTTCCGGCCTCCAGCTTCAACCCGCTTCAAACCGAGGATGGCCAAGCATGATGCTACTTACTGGAGCTGAGCAGGGGTAAGGGCCTGGATTCCTACAGTGATCTTTTGTTTGAGGGTTTCTCAAAATCTGGGGTACGTTTTTTGGGGGTTCGATATTCAGGAGTACCGTTATTTGGGGTCCATGTTGGAGTTCCCCTATTTTGGGAAACTATCATAATATCTCCAGTGATGCGGTAGTTTGGTTTGTCTTTTTCCTCCCTGCATTCCCAATCACCAGTGAGGCTAGGAGGTTTCGGGTCACAACAGCATTTTGCCAGTACTGAAGCACGTCACCGTGACCTTTTGGGGAATCTAGCACCCGAATTGTGGGCACTGCATATTTTGGTAGTCAGACAGCAGCAATGCGTGATGGAATTCAAGGGAACCAAAATCATCACATTCGCAGGAAGAGCTGCGCTAGCAGAGTTGATGGCATGCAGCTTCAACTCCACCATTGGAAGCTACCCAGTATCGGATAGCTGACCTGACCAACAATTTATATACCCTATTGAAGTCTGGTCTGCAGGAAAACAATGAACTTCAATCAGCTTTCTTGATTGCCCTATTATTCATTTCAATTTTCAGAGACCTGCAAGGGGCTCATCGCCACTTGCGCAGAACAGCTTAAGATATTCACTGCAAGGCGGAGCGCCTGATCCAGAAGACCTTTGAGGTCTGCTTGCCCCTGATGGTCCCAGGAGCCCTCGGGTCGTCGGAGTTTGCAAAGGAAAGCTGAGGGAAGGTCTGGCTTCGTCCTGGGGATTCACCAGAACTTATCCTGCTCCAACTACGAAGGGTCAGGGGTGAAACATGACTTACACTGCATAGATGGCTGGGTGGGCAACGAGTTCGGAACCTTTCTTTCAGCAACCATGCGTCTGTGTTTACTGAATTTCCATTTTGGTTGTGCCGCGTGGGTTGCCGGCCATTTTGTGGTGAGCACTACATCAAATCAGAGGTCGCAGGTGTGGTATTCCGCGTAGTTCCAATCCTCGGGCCCTTTGTAAATTTTGTCTCACGTAACCATAGAGATTGCAAAGCAAAAGTGCCATGTGATCCTGTATGAAGGACTCTCCGTCATACTGCTACATGTGGATTATGTTGCCCAGCGCATTTCATGTTTTCTTTGGGTCTGGTTCTCATTCTCTTCACCTTGATTTATTGATCCTGCTAGGAGCCAAGGCGAAGGACATTGATAAAGTTGGGCGCGATATTATGCTGTCGAACACATCTGACCTGAAGATGTCGGCGTGCTACCGGCCAGTTTTACTTTCAGGGACTTTGGAATTGGTGCTAGCTGAATTTGCCAAATTACCCAAATAGGGTCAGCCATTGCCACCGAGAAAAAGTTCAGTCAGAGGTTGATGTCTTCATGCCACCTGCACGTTGTCACAAGAAAGACTCGCATAGCCATTTCGCCTAAACACGCCTTGGGCCATCCCAAGAGTTTTGCCATCTGCAACAGCCAGACCCTAGCCATGTCGGATGACGAGATCCCCACCGGTGCCATGGAGGGCATGGGAATGGACGGGATGGATGACATGTCAGATGACGACATGGGTGACATGCCAGCAGAGCTGCCAGAGGGCGTGAAAAAGGAAATTCTTACTGCTGCAGCTGACGGAAACTGGAAGATGCCCAAAAAGGGTGATGAAGTCACCGTGCACTATGTTGGCACCTTGCAGTCAGACGGTAGCGAGTTTGATTCCTCCAGGAGCCGGGACAAACCCTTCGTCTTCACATTGGGTCGTAGCGAAGTCATCAAGGGCTGGGATGTTGGCGTCGCGACCATGAAGAAGGGAGAGGTGGCCAAGTTTACTCTAGCCCCAGAATTCGCCTACGGTGATGCCGGCTCGCCGCCCAAAATCCCTGAGAAGGCCACCCTGGTCTTCGAGGTGGAGCTCATCTCCTGGGTCTCTAAAGATGACCTCTTTGGAGATGAGGGCGTCATCAAAACCCAAACCGTCGAGGGTTCGGGCTGGAGGACTCCCAAAAGCGGTGACGAGGTGCTTGTCTCTATCAGGGCAGAGGCCAGCGGCAGCGTTCTCGAGGAGCATGCAGACCTGGAGTATGAGATCGGCTCTGATGAACTTGGGCCGCTAGCCAAAGCTTGTGACAAGGCCTTACTTCAGATGAAGACGGGCGAGGAGGTCCAGCTGAAGTGCAGCAAAGACTATGCCCTTGGCGATCGCACTCCTGAGGGTGCTTACGTGACCATTAAACTGTCTCAGATCTATGAGACCAAGGATGTGTCCTTCGAGTCTGACAAGTCAGTGATGAAGAAGCAGGTGGTTCAGGGAGAGGGCTATGAGACACCCAACGAAGGAGGAACTGTGACTCTAGCTGTGGATGTTGGCACAAACGGCTCGGAACCTCTGCCTGGCTTCTCTGCCAAGACCCTGCAGTTTGTGGTTGGCAACGGGGAAGTCTGCGACGCCCTTGAGTGTGCCGTGGCCTCCATGAAGAAGGGCGAGAAGGCCATCCTGACCGTGTCGAAGCCTGCGCTCGCTTTAGAGGCACAGCTGGGACTGACGTCGCTGGAGAAGTTGGAGAAGGTCCAGCTCACGCTTCGGCTGGAGGACTTCGAGAAGGCCAAGGAAACTTGGAATATGAACGAGGAGGAGAAGCTCGAGTTCGGCGCCGCGCGCAAGGAGGTGGGAGCAAGCCTTTTCAAGGCCGGCCGCTTCGCGATGTCCCTGCAGCGCTACAAGAAGGTTACGGACATCTTCAGCTTCGCGGACAATTTCAAGGAGGAGAACAAGGCTAAGGCAAAGGAGCTGAAGAAATTGTGCAACTTGAACAAAGCAGCCTGCTACTTGAAAACCGGGGACTTCTTCGAAGCCAAGGGCACCTGCGATGCGGTTTTGAAGGAGGACTCTCAGAACCTGAAAGCTACCTTCCGCCGCGCCCAGGCGCACTTCGGAATGAAGAATTTCCTTGACTGCATCCAGGACTGCAAGAGGGTTGTGGAGCTTGACGCTCAGAACCGTGATGCACGCCTCCTGCTCAAGAAGGCCCAGGAGGGTCAGAAGGAGGAAGACAAGAAGTCCAAGGGCCTCTTTGCCAGCATGTGCAAGGCCTTGGGTAAGGGTCCAATCCCGCCCCCTCACAAGGAGAAGAGGCCATATGAGGACGAGGACAAGGACGAGGATGTCGACATGGAGCCTGCGGGAAAGGAGGGCTCCTCCGCTCCAATGGAAGCTGAGCAATGTGCCCAGGGAGGAGCGTGAAGCTTGCCTTGTCGAGTTAGGTCGCTGTGGGCTTCTCACAGAGCCCTGAGGTCATGCCGTTTTGTTCGTGCAGGTTTTGCAGATATTGATGGATTCCAGCTCGCTAGCCGGGAAAATTCACCATCGCAAGCTGTCAGTGTCTTCCATCGACGCGGCAGCTGCAAGCATACATGTACAGGCAGAAAGACCAGAGACTTGGAAGGTGTGCCGCAAAGAAAGGAGCTCTGCAAACGCATTGTGACAAATATGACAGTAGCCCTTCTAACTGCTTGCCATGTTTCACAAATTGGAACTGGCCAGGCGCCTGGCATACTCCACAGGCAGCACGGCGACTCAGCCGACTGGCCATGCTGGTTGGGGAGATGCCGATTTCAGCCTCGTGGGGAACAACGAGGCAGAGCTGCAGGAGAACATGACTTTCCACTTCATCCCATGGTTTCAGAAGTATTCGGAGCCCTCTGGAGCTCTTGGGCTCTCAGATACGGTGCTTGTGACAGCGGAGGGTGGTAAGCGCTTCGGTGCCTTGCCGCTGAAGATGACAGTTCTTAACCCAGATGGTTCGGAATGGCAAAGCAAGATTGCTTGAGAGAAATTCGGAGATCGGAATTGGCTGGCAGCCGACGCCTGCACCAAAATCTCATTACTGCAAGATGTATAGGTCCAAAGATGTCCGAAGGGAGACCTTACTCTGCAGAGCTGATTAAGATTAATGTGACAGACAGGCTGCCCAAGATCGGAAAAATGGCAACCTGTGAGTTTTCAGGCAGGCCTGACAAGCTTCACTGGACGTGCACCTGATTGCAAACTTGCAAGTCATTTCCTTCAGGCTCTCAGCTCATGAGGCCATTCTGTGCTGGCAGACATCTTTAAAAAGCCACTGAAGTTCCAGAGTGACACGACTACTCTTACACAAGCACTGTGCAAGCAGATTTAGTGGCAGCCGGCTTGGCAGAGATTCTGGCTCTGCTGTGAGCTGCGGCCTGGTGCTCTGAAGAAGCTGAAGCTGTCATCGTCTGTCATACTAAGGAGTCATTATGAGTTCTTGCTGAGTTCCACCAACAACTAACTCATCTGCTCAATTCAGGAGAGGTGGTAGAGTCTGGTGATTGGGTCCTATGCCACTTCCAGCACTTCACCTCCCGAACGTCTATCAAGGCTAGATCAGATATGATACTTCAGATGTTTGGTGGGGATGGAGAGCTTCATGACCTGAACAAGCCTCAACACAGACTGTAGGGGTCTGACGAGCCCAGGAAGGCTTCTCATGCCCAAGAATGTCAACCTCTTCGGTGCGTGCGCCTTTTTGTCCTTGTAAGCCTGGAGCCTCTTTCGAGGTGGCTGCTCTTTCTGAGTGCCTCACACATGCCCAGCCTAAGCCACCTCTTTTTCTGCCTCTTTGTGGGGCTGCAGAGCTGGCATAGTTTGCCATGCCAGGTACCTGCAGAATGTCAGTCGCAAGATTCAGCGCGGCTTTAGGAAGAGTCAGATGACCAGGCAAAGTATCTCGAGTCCTCCTCTGTGGTGAAGAGCTTTGCTTTCGTTTGGGTGAGCAGGGCCGGTCCCGCAGCCATTTCACATAAACAGCTCGCGCAGTGCTAGTGAAGAGCTTGCACCCTTATATTCCTACCTCTTACACAATTGTTGAGTATCTTTGGCTTGGGTCCAGTCCAGTTTGAAAAGAAAGTGTAGACAAGAATTTGCGGTTCAGATTACATTTCCCCATATCTAATGGTCTATTGCTGCTGCAGCTGCGGTTTCGATGCGCCTGCCGGGACCTAATCTCTTGGAAGGAAAGTGGTTCTAGCGCAAGTGCGGAGGTGACCTGCACTGATGACGCGCTTTGAGCCCCGCTGCCAAGGCGCCGAGCTGCGCTGTTCGGTTCGCGCCTGTCAGAGCCGTGGGCTGCGCGGCATGCAGTGCTTTCAAAGCGGCTCTTCGCAGAGTCAGGAGACCCTGCCTCGAGGCACGGCTGCTAACTGATGCTTGAGAGATCCCCATGCGGAGTTTCACAACAGGATGTGGAACCCAGCCCGGCAGGACGATGCGGTGCCTTGAACGAATTTGCATCAGTGTCAGTCGATGTTTCCTACGGCATCAAGCAGGTTTGGGCAGTTCAGTCCAGGCAAGAAGGCAAACGGGTCCACGGGATTCTTGATGCCTTACAGATGGAGGTCCACTGAAAAGCCTTCCGAAAGCTCTGGCGACGCATAGCTTTGAAGACACCTTGGCAAGGCCCACATAGCATGGACATGAACGAAACAGAATGGGACTGTGCTGGCTGGCCGAGTGTGCTAGGAGAAATACAGAAATTACAAGCTACTCATAGCGCTTCAAGGACACCCGCTCCTCTCTGTATTGGGATGTCCAGCACCTGGACCACTAAGTGTATTGCATTCTTGATCGTCACGGTTCGCACACGCGTCATATCTTACTGCCCTTCCAATGCTGCACACGGTTTACCCTCAGCAACAAGTTTGTAGCAATAGTCACCTCCAACGTGGACCCTATGCATGTGCGGAAGATCGATTCCCTCGCACATCGTAGATTTGGGCTTCTGCAGGGAAGGTTTGCTGCTTGTGAGCAAGGGATGTATTCGATTTCAGGGCAGGGGATGAGTCGAGCAAGCGGCTTCCCAGGATCCAAGCACGAAGGACGACAAGCCGCCTCAAACCATTGAGGAGGAGGTTGCTAAACACATGGAAAGAGCCCAGCAGGCAAGCGGCTGTCAAATGCTTGGTTCATAATTGCAGGATTGATGCGATTTCTTCTGTACCACGATTTTCAGGGTGATGCCAAGAATCTGCAAGACAGCATCTATGCGTGGCCAATGAGCTACAGACCATCAGTCTCTGAAGCGGGGCCTGCCCAAGACGCCTCGCGTAGGTGCGAGCGAAGACAAACTTCAACACCAAGTGGCGGAAAGGCCAGGCGCTCGGTGGCGGTGGCACTGCAGCAGTATGTAGACATGGGGCTCGCCGCACAACCAGCTGGACCACTTGGTGCCAGACCACGCGCAGGTGCGCGGAGCTTTTGCTTTGAATGAGGTCCAGCATATCGCTTCCGCCTGCCGCAGGCAAGGTCGAAACGCAACTGGATCAGCTCCTGTTGACTTGCTGTCCAGACCTTTCAGTGTGACGTGAGCCTGCGCCTGACTTCAGGGCGGAAAAAAGGAGACTACTCCCTACCATGACTACGCTGGCCTTCGGTTCCCGACTCTTGAGACGGCCCACTGCAAGGAATTTGAGATGCTTCCACAGGGATTTCATGACAAAGGTTCAGGTTTTGAGGACAACATGCGCAACTAGTGCCACAATGAAATGAAGTGGCTTGAAACCATGTGGAAGGTGTAGTCCTGGCATTAATTTGTAGATTGCGTTAGAAGTGCAGCTGGCTTCTTGTCGGCAGACATTGCCTAGATCATGTGGAGAAGGTTTCTCACGAGGACTCTGCAATGTGAAAGCATTGCTTTGCAACAAGGGCCATTATCATGAACTCAGCACGTCAAGCCCAGGCGGAAAACATCGATTATCACAAAGACCGTGGCCTAGACCGTGTGGTTGAGCGAGCCTACCCGATCACGGTGCCCGTTGCTTGCAGGAATGCTCTGTTTGGGCTTATGATTCTATATAACCACTAGCTAATCCCAACGTACTATTTTTGATATAGTAGCTGCCATTTTCTTTTCCACTATCCCCAATGAACCCAACTATCCCTACATATGGCGGGACTCCTAGAGGTGCCAGGATACCGACGGCTGGATCCCTACATGCGGGAATACATCTATTTCCTCCACAATCTTGTGCTGGCCTCAGTACCCTAAACCCCTAAACCCTGAACCCTAAACCCTAAACGCTGCATTGATGGTGTTGATGGTGGAGCTCAAGGCTTGCTTCTCTGCTCTTGCAGTCAGTTCCATAGGGTAGTTTCCCAAAATTAGGGGACCCGCAATATATCTCTCCTAACAGTGTCATCCTTATCATGGGTACCTCTCAAAGAAGTAACCCTGATTTCCGGGACCCCCCCCCCCCTTTGGTTATCCAAAACCTCGGACTGAAGGACATCGAAGTCATGAGCTTGTGAAGCCAACTGTCCCTGACCTTACAGGGGGATGTATAATATGAAAAGGGTTACTAGGGATTACCAGGGGGGATGCCAGGAGTTTCGACTATAGCTCATGTGCGCTCCGGACTAGGCGTCTTTTCCCAGGTGTTCATCGGGATTGCAATACGAAGCTTATCTTGGGTTCATGTGTCGGCATTTTAGGATCCAGCGCGCTTCTCCATTGCCAGAATTGCGCAGAGGCAGCGGCCATGCGGTATCTGTGTGAGTGCTCTCGCGTGTGCGGGTCGGCACGGCATAGGTGGCATAGCCTATTTGAGGGCTTCAGAGCATTGCTGCCTGTGACACGTCTTGAAGCAAATGCTGTTTTGCGGGGGAATGCTTCAACTGCAGCCAGCTGTTTTGCTCCTTGTGGCTGAGGAGAGCTATCTTTCACGTCTTTTCTGAAGTTTCCCAAGCCCCTTTATTATGTGACTTGCAGGGGTTTGCAAGTCTTGCTTCGTATTGACGATTAGTATGCTGTGTTGCAGATTCGTCATCCCGAAGGTATCGCATGAGGGAGAAGACTGTGGCAAAGGTTGTCCAGGACGATGGTGCCTGTGCCACATGCAGACCCTTTTAGGAGGCCAAGCTGCATCTCCAAATATCAGAAACTGGTCTCGAATGCCAGATGTACTCTTGAAGCCACAACCTTGAGCTTTAGAAAAAACAACGCCTGAAACCCACCGCAGGAGTGGGGTGCGAACCGGTATCTTACCAGGAGCCGCGGTTGTCGACGAGTCTGGGGCTTGAGCGATCATCAACAGCTGAGCTGACTTTGCAGCGCCATGGGTCAAGATTTTGTGAGCCCAAAGTTGCTGTGTGAGCGGGATGCAAGCTGCAAATCAACAGCAACAGCTACAACAACATCATCATCCTCACCTTCATCATCCATCATCCGTCGTCTATCATTCATCATTCATCCTTTTCATTTCAGCATCGCCGTCATGATCTACATCAAGCCTTATTTAATGATAGATACTGATAGCTTTAAGCCCACCAAAGCGCATCCCCAAGCCACTTTGCTGAGCTCCAAAAGCTCTTTAAGCAGGACTGGCCTTACCAAAGTGAAGGACAAGCAGCAAACCCGCGAGGCGAGGTGCCTCTTTTGTTCCCTGGGACTGCCATGATTGGATTCTAGATGCACGTGATCATGACTTCTCATTTGTGTTGTTTTGGGTTCGCTACGGCCAAGGGAAGAGCTCAACACTTGCAATCGCAGTCAATGCTTTCCACCTCCATGTTGCAAGTTGCAAGAAGTCTCATTGATTACCCTGCTTTGCCCTGTAGGGGTGGAAGGAATCGAGCCTCTTGCAGACAGCCCTTCACCCTTTGCAAGCCAGGAATTTTCACACCAAAGAACTCCAGTTCTTCTCTTGCCGTACCCTTTTTGGTTCAAGCTTATTGAGCCTAGGGTGACCGTCGCATGCCACTGCCCAAGCAAAGCCTACGGATTGGCTGTATGTGTGAATGATGCATTCGCTATTGCAGAACAACTGGAAGCAAAAGGCTTCATGAAACAGAAACATCACCATATGGGATGCCGTTATGGATTCGATTACCAGGGGCCCGTGCGTCATTGAGCACAGCAAGCTGCAAGACATCCTCGCGAGCGTTCCGCCGAGCAGTTCTGTGAAAATGTTGATGTACTGCAATCATGCCACAATTTGCATAGATGTGTGTGGAACTATTCCCCGGAGTCTCACCGGTGGCACCCGTCGAACACGTAGCTTGTTCTATGGCGTGGAGGGTCATGCGGAGAAGTTGGTGCCCCCAAGCCACAAGCGCAGAGTATGGAAGGATTCTGCTCAGCTCCTCGGGCGAGACCACGTCGGAACGCATGAGTTCTCAAAGTCGCCTCTCTAGCGCGAACGACATTTCTTCTTGTAGCAGCAGTTGCGTTGAGCAGCCTCCTCAAGCTAGCAGGGAGAGCGGGATTATGCAAGCGTTGCAAAAGTCTTGGAGCTGGAGGCATGGGCCGAGTCAAGCTGGAGAGCTCGATACATCTAAATTTCAGTAGGATGGTTCCTGGCGAAAGCACCAGTTCCTCCTGAAAGCACCATGAGAGAGTGCCTCTTCTGAATCCATGCTTCTAATACATCACCCTCTTAAGCTGCCTTTGAAGGCTGTCATCATGGCCAAGAAGGAGCAGCAGTACGCAAAATGGGTGGGTGCCTTCCTTATCAGCATACGTCATCGCAAGCCAAGGTGTAGTGCAAGGAGAGCTGTGGAGGCCATCAACACATTTGAGCAGTCTCACGCAGCCCGACTCAGCAAAGCTTCAGCAGAAATCATTTCCCACCTAAACAGAGCAACACCAAGCTGTTGCAGATTGCACAATATCGCTCGAGAAGCATCACAACTTTTCACGGCTCATAGTAACAAAAAAAATAATACAGAAAGCAATTGGCTTGACACTCACGGGAAGTCTGCACCCAAAGCATGGGACGAAGTCTCCTCTTTTCCGCCCGACATCTGGAAGGTTGGGATCAGATGGGCGATGAGGACGACAGTGAGACGGATGATGAGGCAAGGGACAGCTCCTTGCAGCAAGGGTTGATATGTTGAGTGATTCTTTAGTTCGCTCATGTGTGCGTCTGTTCTAGATTGGAGGGTTTGTCCCTTGTTCTGTGCGCTTACTTCCCCTCTCCGCTCGCCAAAACTCAATGATGCAAGCAGCTGCTTGCCAGGCCCTCGGGGACACCAAGGGTTGGCGATCCACCAGCGATTGGGTCCGCGGCTGTGTTGCTTCATCCCACACCTGTGACCACGTGTATGACAGGGCGGACTGTCCCAGAGGGCTTACATGCTGACAACTCTACGTAGGGAATAAGCTGATCCGACAAGATCTCCAACCTAGCTGGGTGAGCACCAAGATCCGGAAGCAATCCGTAGAAGTGGAGATGATGCCCGGAGCTCAGTCAAGTTGTTCGCAGAACGTGGGAACATTTTTAGAGAAGTCGAGTCCCAGCAAAAATGCCGCGCAAGGTCTGCCTTCCCAATGATGGAAAAGCGCGGTACTCACTGGATGCATCATGCTCCTTAGAGCCGGCCTAACTAAAGATGCATTTAAGCTGATGCTGTGTCTGGTCCGTTTTCTGCAGAACGCTTGGGATTTTTATGTGTCATTGACTGCCCAGGCGAGATCCAATGCCAAAGCGCGTGGACGTGGACATGGTTGTTGACAGCAGGCACTGCACTTGCTCCATGATGTTGTGCTGTGTTGCCGCCAGTGCGCAGGCAGCACTACAAGATCATCAACTGGATCGATCCAACTGACAAGGTTGTCTTCTGACGCTTTGGCCCCTATTGGATATCGCCAGCACTTGACATTGGCCTTCACAGCAGCTCTGTGACTGCCGCGTTAATGATTCTCACCTCTCTCTCACCCGTCGACGAGCGATTGCTCGAGCTGGTCATGTAAGAATGGTGAGCAAAAATTCGTCTGCAGAGCAGCACACACAAAGTTTACAGGTACATCTCAAAGTCAGACGGGATGTCTATCGGGCTGTCGCCCACAGTAACTGGACTCTCCGGGTTCTCTGCTTTGGTCAGCCGTGACGACAGATGTTGCCAAGGGTAATAACTTCTGCACACATGCAGTGGCAGGGTTGTACCTGTGAAAGCCTACGGACGACCTCCGCTGCATCCTCAGAGTTTGCACCACAGAGACAGCTGCTCGGCTGACTTACTCTTCCAATGGGTGTAAAGTCGCTGCTTGAGGTCGTTCTCCTCCCAGATGGCGCTGTGGGGTGCTGATGACTTTAACTACCGCACTCGCAAGAGGCAACGGCCTCACTTCTAAGCATTCTAAGCCTACACTTCCTGTCTGAGTCATTGATTCGATTCTGAGGTGGACTGGTCGGTGGACACGGAAGCTGATATATCCACTGAACTACAAGAAGGAGCCCACGGACTCAAACACATGTTTCAAAAACAACTACGATCCGTGGCCCACAGGATTTTCATTCCGATGCTCTCAATACCACCATTTACAACCTGCGTGCCCTGGCCTTGGGGGGGCAGACTGCTTGCTGACTCCTGGGCTGAGAGCCTTTGCGCATTGACAGATGGCTGGAAGAAGCGCATTTTTTGCACTCACCTGTGCCAAGGTCACCCCGTCTGCAATGTACCAGATGGATGATGCCGGGGGTTTCGACAACTACGTCCTGCGCACGCCGCCTCAGGATGCCGAGAGCTAGGGACCCTTAAGCCCCTGGCGCACCCAAGATGCAGAAAGAGGCCCCAGCGTTATCAGGAAGCATCATTTTAACTCCATACCCTCATTGCAGCCAACAAAACTTGAGCAACTTCAGCTGTTCATCGGCAGCCTTGCAGGAGCTCCGGTCTGCGACTGGAGAGAAGATGCGAGAGGTGATGTATTGGTACATGAGAAACCCACAGGTAGGGGCTCTGGGACTGGGACACTGGTGATTGGGTTTGAGGGCATGAACTTTGGAGTAAAGCTTGCGCGCTGCCTCTCAGCAAATCTGTGCCCTTCAGGATCTAGACTGTTGGGTGAGAGCCTGGCTCAAAACTAGGGCAAGCAAATGGTACAGCAGTACAACTTTGGGGCTCTGCCGGGCCACCTGGAATCCAGGGAAAACGCCTTGAAAACGCCTCGCATCCTAGTCGTTTGACTGTTTATGTATTCGGGACTCGCGATGCTTGCAAGTGCTAGCATTCCATGCCATGGACCTGTTCGTCCGTCCGCCGCGATGAAGAAAGCAGCCGAGCAAGGCTGGTGCTGATGATGCCCTGAATTCAACAAGCCGCTGTCTGCAGTATCCTGCAGCATTGAGTATATCGCACTTTTTGTACACTTTGGTTCACGAGAAGTGAGCAGGGAGTCTCCTCATCTCGTGATCTGATGCTGGTCCGATCTCCACGATGGCCACGCCCACCAGGACCACCCCACTGCTTTTGCATCCACAAGACCCCTCCAAAGTGTTAGTTTGCTCACTTCCTCTGCCTTTGAGCAGGATCTCGGTGGAGAGCTTGATCCTGATAGTCATGATCCTGCTTCAGGCTGTTCGTTTGCATTACCCATTTCACCTAGACAGCTCTGTACCAGGCGTCCGTCCTGATCTTCCAGAAGGATCTTGCTTGTGGGGAGGTGCCCATGGTGCCCTCGAAGGCCAAAGGCTAAGGCGGAAGTGTTAGTTCAGGCAATGTTTTGACCCTGATGTCTTCAAGGCAGTTGAGGCTCCTGCGCGGGTTCGCCGTTCTGGTGCGCCTCCAGGCCTTATTGTTGATTCGTTTCGAAATCGTTCCCTTAAATCTGGAACTGCCCAGGCAAATCAAACAAGACAAAAACTGAGGCGGGAAAGCAAGGCCAGGATTTGGGTGGCGTGGAGTGGGATCGTGAGAACCTGTCCCGAAGCTCCAGGAGCCGCTATTAGCAAAAGCAAGATCACACATGCCATCTTTGGAGAGTGCCCAGAGGCCAGCAGCGCCAGAATGTTGAGTACACTGCAACATGTCAAGAGATGTTGAAGAGACCATGAAATCAGAGTTGCACAGGAAGCTCCACTCTGTCAAACTCAATTGATTAGTGGCTTGTCTAGCATCTGTAGGCTGCAGGTACTAGTCGTAGATAGACATGTGGACAGTGAACGTTTCACGGCAGAAGCTCGTAGTAGGTCCGGCACTCTTCTCCGAAGGGCGCCCAGCATCCGAATGTGCGCTGGAAGTGGCCCGAGGTGGGTTCGATTCTCTTCGAATTGATCTGTGGTTGGTCAGGGCCAGTGCTGTGTCAGGTCCCTAAGCCTTCCGTGATCGTGGAGTTAGGGGGCAACCTTGGCGAAGATCTACAGGTGTCTTTGAGTGCAAGCTGGTAGATGACAGTGCGGTGCGTCACGCATGGCGGCAAAGGTCGTATTTGTTCACGACACCAAAGGGTTCACAGGGCGATTTGTCTGAGGCCTTCCTGCGACTCTATCCTCACGCACACATTCACAGCTTTGAGCCAGTCAAGTCGCACTTGTCTCAGAGAGTTTGAAGTATTGTAGCTGCCGGAGCTATTGAGAATATGGCACATATTTTACTGGTACCTCATTGTTGTAACACGCCGAGGCATTTCGAGCACTTGACACAAAGATTTGCCAGTGCCATCCAGCAGGGCCGCGCTTGCTTCTCAACTTGTATCTTCAAGGAACGCCTGGAAGCAGCAACATGCTGCGGCCAGAAGCTGCAGGTGAAGCTCCACAACTTCGGCGCTTCTAATGCCGACGCCAAGGTAAGGGTAGTTGATGCAATTCACCTGCTACCAAAACCTCCACGGACCAAGATGCTTGGCTCCCCAACCTCATCCAAGCCAGGTAACTTTCCGAACCGATGGGGACATTTCAGCTTCATCTGCGTGCCCCTGCTAACACTTCAACTTTCGGGGTCAGCCGTTAGCCGAAGTGTCGTGTTCCCGAAGCATGCGGGTCGGCCTGGAGGTACGGAGCGGTGCAGTCACGAAGGGAGAAGCCCAGGTTCGAGGAGCACTGCGCTTGCTACGGGCATGAGACTTGAAACCCAGCTATCATGCTCAGAGGAAGAGTTTCCGTTTTTGCTGTGGAGGATGTCCATGTCCGCGACATCCACAAGCTGCTAGAGAAGGTGGTTCACACGGAGAGGCAAGGTTTGGCAAAGGTGTGGTGACCTGCGGAACATTGACACCTTTAGCCAGGGTCGGGACTTCAGACAAACTTGTCCTTCTGACTTCTGTGTAACATGCCTACTAACTGCTGCACTTGTAGCAGCACTAGCAAAAGTGGCACTGGTGTGTGCAGTAGCCAACGCGATCAGAGTCACACGTTTGTGGTAGTAAGGCTGACACTCATAAGATATGGCAACCACTCATAAGATAACAATTGCAAGCATGCAGCTTCGCCTAGCCCATACAAGCCAGACTCCCATTGCCTTTTCAGATGTGCTGAAGAGTCTATTGTTTGGCAGTGGGAGCACATAGCAGTTGGCTCGAAGCCACCTGACCCATCATAGTAGGCGGGCGGCAAGTGCAACGGGGCTGGGGGCACCACCCCTTCCGCTGACGGGATTTTTGAATGTATGTTGGCGCCCCGCCTACGTGGTCTGCTGGTCTTTGCCTACAAAGCATGCTGCATCTGGTGCTCCATGATCCAAGCGTTTCCTTGCCAGAGTCCTGTGAGCATGCCTCTAACAGTTTTGAAGCCCCAAGCGGTTGGAAACGGAGACTTGCTAGCGTGCGAGGCGACCAATCGATGTGTTCAGTGTGAATTGCGAAGGCTGCGAGTACGCTTGGGCCCTGTTCGTTGCCTCTAAGTGTCACATGTGCACTTTTTGGCGCATTTTTTTGACATTCGAGGACTTTCAGCTGAGAAGTCCGTCGTGGTAAGTAAATGCAAAACTTGCCTGTAGCCGCTACCGCAGCAGTTCCATGCGCGCTGATCAGGGGGGAAATTGCATCTCTAAGTACAGTGCTGCGGATCCGCAACATTCAAAAACGATGTTTCTTTCATGAGGACCACCCTCCGCACTTCTGTGCAGTCCTGATAATTTAATTTGATTTCCTTGTGGGTTCTGCATCAGGCTGTCCTGGAGCGTTTACGTGACACGGGCTGGCCAGAGTCTTGACAATGGCAAAGGCTTCAAAATCCTGGCGAGCACCGTGAGAGTTTTCGGTATTTACGAGTGTGACCTCTGTCGGGGAGAGTGCCACAATAGAAATGAGGAGCATGTTGGCGTCATTTCTTTTAGCGCCTGGTGGATTTTGAATCTTTTGGGGCCTTCCTATGCTGCGTGACGCTCAGGTTCAGCAAGATCAAGGTACTTCAAGTGTCCTGGCATGTGCGGAGCTCGATGACATGTGTTTTCAAGGTGCATGTGCAACTGCCTCTAAGCTCATGACGATGTGTGCTTGTTTGAGGCTTCGCCTACCATTCCTAGGACCTCCGCAGGGTCAATATCCTCGCGTTTGCATGCAAAGATTGCGGTCGCAGGCATGTTCAAATTGGCAATGGACAGGATTGCATAGCTGCCAGTTTGCAGCCCAATTTCAGAGTTGCTGGCTCTGTTTCGAGCTTTTGCTGCCATTGGTTGTGCACACCGCAGACAGCACGCTGACGCACATCCCGCAACAAAGCATGTTTTTTCCTAAATGCCAGTCTAGACTTGTGGATGGGAGCCTCCCCACTCCGTTCCAGCTCTTGCACCAGACGCTACTGAACGAACCTGGTGTAAAGATGGACTTAAATTAAGGAGAGACCCCCAAGTTCTCCTTAGAGTCGAGCAGGAGAGTGATCCGACGCTGCAGCCTCGCTCAGGACATAAGGGACGCGGGTTTTGGAGGCTTGGGCTTTGGAAGTTCAGGCGGGGATTCAAGGACTTAGGGAGACTTAGGCTGATTTGGGGCATTCCCTCCTGACTTTCAAAGCTAATCATATCTCCGACCATAGCTCCAAAGCAGACGTCTGCATGACCTACCGGAGCCCAAGGCCTCAAACCTCGAGCCTCAAACATGCACACAAAGCATTTTGCACCAAGGAGGCCAGGATTTTCATTACAGCTACGGTAATACAGAAGCCCTGACCAACAGATGACTACGAAACCATATTCAGGGAGTGTGGACATCCTGCTAGTCATAGTGAGTTATATGGTGCTTGTCTGAACTGTATGCGGTTTTCCAAGGACCCCCCCAAAAGGTGACCTCCCCCCCCCATTTTTGGGACCCCCCCAACTCTTGGCGAAAGGGTTTAGGGTTCCGGGTTTAGGGAACCCCCCCACCTATTGACGGAAGGATCTGCCGGGTACGAACTTCCGGCTGGCACGTATCGCAGACTTCGGCCGGGGCCGCTGGCCTCTTTCAAGCGCAGCGTCTTTCGATCTGTTGGTGTTATACGTGGATTCTATAGGAATGATGGAGAAACGTAACATGATGTAACATGGAAAAGAACATGGAACATGAAATGGGGAATGTGCTCACACGGGTGGGGGTTTCGATGGATCGGGTCTATGGGGTGGGTGGGGAGTTCCTGTCACCCCAACTACCTGTTTATTAGTAGCACTTATCCCCCGCATAACACCATAGAACAACATGAAAATGAAATCCTGCATTTTTTTCTGGCCTTAGGTTGAGATTTGGGACTATGAGACTTGGGGAGCGATCATTGTTTGCGAGGTGTGAGTGAAACCGGGGCCTGAATTAAGGCTGGCTGTGTTGTGTTGCGCTTTTGACAGTTAAGGAATCTGCACAAATGATTTTGATGTGCGGGATTGCGTAAGTCAGTTCCTCAAGCATTGGTTGAAGTCTGGATCTGTTGAGCAAGAGTATAAGTTTGGGTGAGAGAAACATGCCATAGCTACGTTCACTGCTTCAAGGGCATTGGATTCCTTCGTGGTGTAGGAGTTTCAGGGGGTCAGGGTTAAGAGGCACGGAT